GCAGTCTCAAAGAGCAGCTGCTGACTGCAGGGATCTGGGTCATCGATGCAGTTGCACCTCCGCGGCAGCTGCACATCGCCAGGGACCTGCTTCTGCACAGGAAAAGATGGTCGTTGGCAAAGAGCACCAAGAAAGAAACAAAAACAGTCTCCTTACCTTTGCGGCAAATTGAGCATTCAGGCCGCAGTCGATTTGTTTCTCCAAGGGAGACTGATATTGATCCCTTGATGGAAAGGAGCCGTTCTCCGAAATGCCGCAGAAAGAGGAAAAATTGCAGCGTCTGACAAGCACTGTCGAAAAATTTACGGCGTCTTGAGTGTTCCCTCCTGCAACGTCCCTTGTGTCAGACTCCGAGAAGGAATTCCAACCCGACTGACAGTAGACTTTTTCCGACATTGTGGCTTCTGAGATGGACGCGGACGAAGAATCCCCCCAGTAATTCGATTCCGTCTGACGAACGCTTTCTCCAGGGACCGTGAACTACATCTGCGATACTATATCCACAGCTGGCCAACAACCGTCTCCCAACGTCTTCGGTTGCCTCGCCCCACTGATTATAGCTTTACCATTGCAAGTTTGTTGCCCTTGCACTGAAAAACTGACTATGTGCCATCACGACGACATGCCCTATCTTCACTTGACCATGACGCCAGCGCGGTCGTCTGGAATGCGTGCCATCAAGCACGGATCGCAGGACCAGGAGCGTCCAGCCCGACACATTCCTTCCCTCACACCCTGCGCTTCATTCTTAAATTTGAGATGCCCTCCTCCAGCTCTTTTGTGGTAGGGAAGTGTCCCGGAATAACCAGAGCATGTTGATGTCCAAGGTACAAGTCCAAGCGGCTCATTTACAAACCTAGTGGCCCTTTACTTTGGCAGCGTCGTTCATTACAATGGCATTATATTACAGGTTCATTTTCTTCTTCTGTTTCACTTTGTGTATCAATTCCATCCTTTCGTCAACACCGATAGGCGACTGGGAAGACATCACCGCCACCCTTCGCAGCACCTTAGACGCCATCGAGAAGTCCCACCGGCACCATGTCGCGCGATCCGGATCAAAGCGCTTGCGGAGAGACGCCATATTTCGAGTAGGGCGTGCAGGTTATTGGAGGCCATTGTCTCCTAGCCAGCGGCCAGATCCCTCAGAAGACTTCTCAGACCAGTTGACCGAACTAACTGGCGAAATTGGAAGTGCGATTGAACAACTGATTGAGTTGCTTGCTTCACAATTCAACATTGGAACTCTGTTGCCTACTCTTGTCTCGCCGCCACAGACAACTATATTCCCTATCACGAATATCAACACTCCTCCGCCTTTGACGACCCCGCCAAGCTATGTAACTTCAAGCACAAGACACCCCCCAGCATCCAGCTCCTCCTCCTCGTCGCCGACCGCAACGTACACATTCAACCCACAAGCCTCGGACCTCAATGTGGTCTACTACTCACAAACGGACCTTAGCCCCATCATACCGCTGACTCAGGTTTGCAATGACCCTGCCATCGATGTTGTCATCCTCGCATTTGTCACAAACTTCATTTCCGATGGAGGATATCCCGCTATGAATATGGCATCGAATTGCTGGGCACCCAACGCCGATCAACAAGCCGCGGGAGCCACGAGGCTTCTCGACTGCGTTGGTGACGGCTTCGCAAACGAGATTGCCATGTGTCAGCAACAGGGGAAGAAGGTCCTGCTCAGTCTCGGCGGGTCTGTGGGAAATCTGACAGTGCCGAGCAACGACAAAGCAGCAGAGGTCGCCAATACACTCTGGAGTCTATTCTTAGGTGGATCGGACCCTAGCCTGATGCCTTTGAGGCCTTATGGAAACGTGGTTCTGGATGGTATTGATATTGGTAAGTTTCTTTCGCCGTCGCCGCTGCCCCCCCACGATCAACTTGTGGCCGTTGGCTGAAGTTTGTAGACAATGAATTTCCATCTGCTGCGATGTATATCCCGAAATTAGTGTCGACATTACGACAACTAATGGGTTCCGATACTTCCAAGACGTACTACCTCTCCGCCGCGCCGCAATGCCCCATTCCGGACCTGTCCATCCCTGTCGCGAGTCTGCTTAATGACATTGACTTTTTCGGCATCCAATTTTACAACAACCCAACATGTCAACTTAATTCTGGTCAAGGATTCTTTGGGTCCTTACAAGAATGGTCCAGCGACCTCCTGGGCGCCGGTTCTCCGACCCGGCTCACGAAGAGATCTTCACACGTCCAGGCTCGACAGCCTTCCAACACATTCCACAACATCAACAACGGCATCACGTCCCCGCGGCTATTGATCGGCACGCCCGCTTTTCCACTTGCCGGAAGCGGCTACGTCGACGTGGCGACCTACAAATCGATCCTCGCGCAGGTGAAGAGCATGAACCTGCCGAATCTCGCCGGCGCGATATTCTGGGACGGCGCGTACCAGGAAGTGAGCGGGCAGAGGATCGACGACAGTGGCCGGAACGTGACGTTTGCGGAAGTGGTTAGGGAGATTTTGGCGTAGTGGGAAAAGAAGAGAGCATAGGACGAAACTGATAACGGAAACGGACTCAAAGATGTACGGACATGCACGGGGGGCTTTGGACACGAGAATTCCTAATACAATGAATGCATCGCTTCCTTATACCTACCTACATGGGAGAGAGTATCAAATCCTGATTTCCCAGGCCCGAGGAATCTGCAATGACAAGGGGAATAGGGCTGAGAAGAGATAAAGAGTAAACTGCTGAAAAGAGAAAATGCCAGAAAGTATCCTGTCTCCCCATGTCACAAGTGTGAACAGATGGGGGATCGTGCCTTTTTTTTTTTATTGTGGTTATGAATTATCCACACCCTGCGTATCATATTCTATCCTAATCGTACCCCAACCTAAGCGAAGGAGAAAGAACGAGAAAAGCGGAAATGATTTCCTTTCCAACTGGCTGATAGTACCAGCCGGTACTCCTATTTGCGCGACAAAACAAGCACTGGGCGCATGAGACTCGATACGACTCTCGTCGCTTAGTCCAGTGCAGTCCGGAGCAGGCCTAGTCGACGTTGATCTTGACGTACTCGCCCTCATCCTCAGAGCCGTATTTTTCCCAATCGCTCATGTTGTCCTCATCGTCGACGTTTGCATGATGCTGCTGCTGCTGCTGCTGCTGCTGCTGCTGCCGTTCTTGTGGTTGGCCCTGCGCGTTGTTATTGCTGTCCTCGGGCTCGTATCTCGGCAGAGTCTCGACCGTCCCGTTGTGGGGGTCCTCGAACCCGAGGGTCTCGGAGCGGTCGTCTCTCGCGGGGGAAGCTTCTTCTTCGGCTTCGCGTTCCTTTTCCTTCGCCTTCGCCGTCTCGCCCATGGTGATGTCCGCGAGAGCAGAAGGTTTCGATTCTGGTGCGGCATGCAGAGTTGGGGGAGGTTGATGTTGAGGTTCTGGCACCGAGTCGGGGTCGTACATGTCCTTGTCCTCCTGCTCCTCGTCTTCGCCCGCATCAAACAGCAGATCTTTCTCGTTCAGGTAGACGTCCTCGGGTCTCTCGTTGGAAGGTACAGGCGATGGAGACGATCCACCACCTACATGGACTTCCTTTTTCTCAAAAGTCTTCTCCACTTTGGGCACGTGGATGATCAAGACGCCGTCGACTATTTTAGCGGTGATACCCTCAACGTCAACGCTGGCAGGGGCTTTGGATGTACCCAAGCGAATGGTCTTCTCGAAGACGCCGGTTTCGCGCTTGCGACCGTCCACGACTAAGCGCGACATCATCTCTTCGTCGACCCCAGGTCGGTGGACGACCCCAGCAACGCGTAGAGCAGAGTGCTCGCCATCCCACTCGACACCAACGTCAGACTTCTTGGCACCAGGAAGGGAAAGATGGATGGTGTAGGCCGAAGGGGTGTCAAAGATGTCGGTTCTTGGTTCAAAATCGGTCTCGGGCGAGCGCGGAGGTCGGATGCCTAGCCCTTCGGCGGCAGCGGTCAAGTCGATTCCAAGACGCTCACCCAAGTTGCTCAGGAAAGTGCCCAAATCGAAGCCGGACGCTTGGCCCTGACGATCACCGGGCCCATCGCGTGGTGGGGAGCGTGAGTGAGGTCCATGATGATGATGTGGTCCTCCGTGGCCCCTGTGAAAGCCTCCGCGGCCGCGGCATCCGCCACGAGGACCGTGGCCTTCGGGAGCTTCACGTCCAGGGGGCCCGCGGGGGCCGAAGGGGCCATGAGGGCTAAATACAAATGGAGGTGGCCCAAAGGGAGGGGGTCCAAATGAACATGGGGGTGGTCCTGGTGGTGCTCCCCAAGGACCATGGCCGTGATGGTGACCATGACGGCCTCTTCCACCGCCGCGGCGGCCACAGCTGTTTTCGTCGGCGTTGTCTTTGTTGTCATTGTCTTCGAAGTATTTCGCGAATCGACCACGACCACGGAATGGAGCGTCCCTACCTTCAGGCTTGAGGGTTGAAGGATCGATTTCTGGAGGGTCCTCAGCGCTGGCTTCAGGCTGTTTGCCTTTGGCCTTTTCGCTGGGTTCGGCGGCGGCAGCCTGCTGGGCGCCTGGACGAGGCGGCTGCGGTGGTGGAGTCGGTGGGACAGGGCGTCGATGGGCGAAGAAGGGATGGTCTTCGATCCCGGCGACGAAGTCCCAGAAGGGATGGGGCGGCTGATTCAAGTAGTAGATAGGAGGCATCTTGCTTGCTCACTTACGATGTTTGTAAGGAATGAGAACGGGTCTGGAATCTTGATCTTGACGATGAGATGGGATGAGCTAGGGAAGAGGGTAGGCAGACGACGCTTTATAAAACATCACCTTGAGCTGTACCCCGCTGCCAGGCAAACACATTCCCTTCTTGTTACGCACTCACCCTCCAAAGCTTAGGCGGCGATGGCGGCGACGCAGCTCGAAGCTGCGAGAAGCATTGGACGCCACAGGCTGGAACAGTCCCTCGATTGGCTGCCTGCGCCATGTGGCACGGATGGTGTGACTCCCTGCCATGTTCTTGGGATGTTCTGGGCTTCGTTATTCTGGGTGCCTAGATGGCGGTGCAAGTCGACTGGCTGACGAAGGACCGCGTAAGTCGGGGGGTAGAGGGGGGCAAAATGCTTGGGAAGAGAGAAGATCTTCGTGTCCTTGAATCTCCATCGGCTTCTGAGACGAAGTCTGCGCCGATGTGCCACGCCGGATCAAAGTAAATCCGCTCTTCCCAGACCTCCTCTTCGTGATTCGGCCCCGAGAACCCTCAGGACCCTCAGCCTTGTGGCCTGCAAGTCTGTCTACTCCTGTCCAGCGCATTCCCCGATCCATCGAGACCCGTTTTCGCACGAATCCAAAAGTCTTGCCGGACAAAGCAACCTGAGGAGTAGCCATGTCTGGATTCTCTATTGCACTCGTCCCACCCCTCCAAGTATCGCTTGGCTCTTCGCGGGCACACTTCTTGAGGAAGTCGATCGCTGACTCTGATGTCTGCGTCTTGTTATTCTCGCCGCCCATTTTGATAAGACCCCCGACAACCGCCGTCTTGAGGTGGCTGTTCTTCAAGCCGTCGATTGCATTCGCGACGCGAGCTCATGTTCCTTCAGGCGAGTCTCCGTTGGATATCTCTGACCTTGTCGACGTAGTCTCTGACATTTAGATTACCACACGACAATTGCCCTAAATCTCCGTATGGTGGCCTGCATTCCTCTGTTTTTTTTGTTTTTTTTTGACGTCGCGGGAATCTATTCTTGAGGAGGCCTAACAATTTGTCGAAATCATCGCGGACGGAGTCACACACAGCTCTGCACCAGGCCTTTTGCCGTGCAGCTCAATTGTTATGCAAGGTCTTCGAGATTGGTGGTAAGGCTGTGCATCCCCTTCTCCGGTCGTCACGTGCAAGGTCACACTCTTCCCCGCCATCCATCCAACCCATCTTACCCATCCTAAACATCCTAAACATCCCGAAACCACCCATACGTCTATATACAGACAACAAAAACAACCAAAAAGGAGCAAAAAAGAGCATGTTGATGAGGGTGGGACTCGAACCCACGCGGACAAAGTCCACAAGTATAAGGACTTCTTAAAACCAGCTGGAGCTTCAGATATGCCTGAAACCTTCTCAAGGGGTTAGTAACAATATCTTTACTACAAGGAGCATGAAGACATACTTGCGCCATAACCACTCGGCCTAACAGAGCATTGTTAGCTCCCAAGATTCGACGATGAGGAGGGTGATTTTCACATACCACCTCACCAGGTATTTTCGATGTATTTTTCCAAGCTTAATAACTATAGTTCTTTTTTTTTCCTGGTGGGGAGAGGGCCAGCTGAGGGGCGAGTGAGGGGTTGTTACTTCAAACTCTGACCGAGACGAACGCGGCTAGTGAGGCCCCTGTCAGCCTCCAAGCGCCCCCTAAGCCCAGCCTAGTGAGTCGCGGCCCTATGGGCCCTCTACTATCTGCACCAACCTCCATCTCTTGCGACTTCGTTTTGATCAAAAGTCATCAGGCCAAGTGAGACAATGCAACATGCTCAGGGAGTCTCCATGATCTCTGTTCGAAGATGTTGCTGACCTGGCACACCTAGAGCTCCCGTTATGAATAGTATTATCGGAACACTTGAGGGTACAGCCTTGGGAGGGTCGGCTCTGTCCACCCAAGGCAAGCGAAAACCAAGATGACTTCCAAGCAAAACTCAGCACCCTTGACTGAGCATTCCTTCTCATCTTCGATAATGTTGACGGGACTGAGATTCCCCAAGGCTCACTCCTCGTATACAGAGTTTTTTGGTCTGCGTCGCTGGTCTTGGGTCAAGATCCTGATGAGAGGATAAGTAAATCGGTATAAGCACTAACAAATAGCCTAGGTATCATTGGGAAGGGAAGCGTCAATCACACACGATGAAGACATTTGATGCCGGGTCGAGTCGAGCAGAGCAAATCAGGCCACCATAGCATTCCTGGGATTCCTTTCAGAGTCGAAACCAGCATGATTGCCTTACTATCTGCCAGGTACAGTGCAATACTCTGGTCACCGGTCTCTGGGTACTACAGGATGTCGTAAACCATACTTTTCTGGGGCGTTGGTCCCTAAACAACTCCGCTCTGGCGGGCCTGAGAGCAAGTTTGGAGGCCCCGTTCAATGATTCCAGTGAGTGGTCCGGAGAACGGAGTAATATTTCAGGCCTTCTGGCTGCCTGAGAGGTTCTTTGGCGAGACAACGTGGAAGGGAGAAGGGTCACTCGCCAATCACCACTCCAGGATTGTCACTGCTTTCGCTAACGACAATATAGCCAACTCCACTATGTACTAAGTATTTATCTCTCAAAAGCAAGTCAATGGGTGGCATAATTCATTCTATCCTTTTTTTTTTCCCCTTTGTCCTTCTTCAGCAACTGGCAATATCGCTGGACCAGCCTCAGTCCTTTACGGATTAGCCTCGTCAAGCCGGTTCTCGGACACCGGGCGTCTCGGGGCTCGAACCAAATATCTGGGCGTAACAAGCTCTTCGAAACACCAAGAAAAAGGCCAATATCAACCTTCATCTATTGATTTCGCGTATCCGAGGAGGACTGCTTCCCACCATGGCTCAACCTATCCTTAATCTCTTTGACGCCAGGCGGTTCACTTCTTTCCTCTTTGCCCTTCTTGCGATCTACCTCTCGGTCAAGCTCATCCGGACCATCCTGCGCACAATCACTACTCGTCGCCGTTACCAAGAAATCCCCCAGTTGCCCCGTCATCCAGTATGGGGCCACTTGATCAACATGGGCGAAAAGCTCAACCCGGCTCTCCGGAGGCACCCGGATTATGCATTCGAAGAAATTTGGGAGTCTTTGGGCAAACCACCAGCTTTTCTAATGGATCTGAATCCTGTTGATGGGGCGTTTCTCATTGTAGCAGATCCGGGTATAGCTGAACAGATCACCCAGCCCAACTCGACATTCAAATATTCTCTCCCGAAGAGCGACACTTTGATGTCCATGTACCGCCTCATTGGTCTTGAATCATTAATCATCGCCGAGGGCGAGGAATGGAAGCTCTTGCGAAGGAGGTTCAACAAGGGATTCTCTCCCCAGCATCTGCATACTCTGGATGGCATTATCGTTTCCAAGACTCGAGAATTTGCGGAGCGGTTGAAGCGCACCGCGGCAAGTGGTGACATTTTCACCCTGAAGGACTACGCACAGGATTTGACCACAGATATCATCACTACGGTCGCAATCGAGAAGGATTACCATGCTCAAACGACTCCCAACGGAGTTGGGTCAAAGGGCCGCTTTGGGATGCTCACGGCTTCGAGGTTACTTTCGCAACTGGTGTTCCCAGTGGGCAGGGGGTTTAATCCGTTTATCTATTTTGATCCTATCCGGCCCATGAAGTCCTGGTTCTACGAGCAGGTGTTTAACCGCGACCTGGCAAAGGTCATCCGAGAGCAGATAGCCGCCGAACAGAACCAGATCCAAGATTCGGGCAAGGATGCCGCAAATGGCAGTGGCCAAAGCGCGTTGCAGAGGTCAATAACACGCCTCGCTTTGTCAGGTTTGAGCCCGGACGCAGCGCTGATCCGCAACACCGTGTCGCAAATCAAGAGCTTTTTGTTTGCCGGCCAGGACACAACTGCCACGCTTATCCAATGGCTCTGCTTCGAGCTCTCTAAAGCTTCATGGTCTCCGTCCTCAGCGGCCATCCTCGAGAAACTGATCCAAGAACATGATTCAGTCTTTGGCAAAGAGGGAGGGCCCTTCAATGCCCTCGACATCCTCGGCCGCACGGACGAAGAATCCCGTAAAGAGACGGAAGCCATTCTTGGCAGTCGCTTACCTTACACGACGGCATTTATCAAGGAGACGTTACGCCTTCACCCGCCCGCCGCTACGGCACGACTTGTGCCCGAGCTCTCACCCGAGAATCCGACCCCAGCAGTGTTGAAGCTGCGCACCACGAGCGGCGAAGAAAAAGATGTGCAGGTCAATGGCCTCAGGATCTACGTTTGTGCGCACCTCGTTCACATGAACAAAGCTGTGTGGGGGCCCGACGCTCCGGTTTTTCGACCCGACAGGTGGGTGGATGAGAAGTACGTCGCGTCTTTGCCAACTGGCGCATGGCGGCCTTTCGAACGCGGGCCGAGGAATTGCATCGGGCAGGAACTGGCAATGGTGGAGGCCAAAGTTGTGCTTTGTGCGGTGGCAAGAGGTTTCCAGTGGGAAAAGGTGGGATATTCAGGGAAAGGGCAGAAGGAAGACATGGAGAGACCGAGAGGAGATGGCAAGGATGACGGGGAGAGGGAAGTGTGGAGTGTCAACCAGGTGACAGCTGTGCCAGTCGACGGGATGATGATGAAGGTTCAGCTGAGGAAATAGATGTTGGAACTAGATGGAATTCTCATAGACAGGAGGGCCTTTTATTTCCGGGGGCTAGCAATCGATCTGGATTGTATCATGCATGGTTCCTGTGAACAGGAGTATTCTGCCCCGACAGCCTCGACTTCGTACTGTTCGTGATGTTTTTGAAGGCTGAGAATCCCATTGGATGGCGGACTTTCTCTACCCACTTCGTTGTGCCCAAAGGAAGATGTGAAGAGTTAGAAAGAAGCTCTGTCATCAGGGGCATTAACGTCGAACCCGATAAAAGTATTGAGGATGTAAGTTCCTGGTGACTAGGTCACCCCGCGACCTTTCACTTGGCTGGTATTGTTGTAGTGTTGGCAGGCCGCGGCCACGTTGTTTGCCTCGACCTCCCACCCTCCAGATACATCATAGGCCCCCGGGCACGCCTATGCATTCACACACTATGGTAAATTAGGCCGCCATTTGCAATAGGAACTTCGTTGGCGATTTCGACGGCGACTTGGATTTCCTCCTGTCCTGGTCACGGTCCAGTTGGTTCACGCTGTGTTGGTGGCTGGGGGAAAGGATTTAACTATCATTGATGCTGCGCCGCTGCGGTCCCTGATATGCTGCCCTTTCGCGGCCAACCTATGGGTAAGTTTGGTGTCTTGGTGGCGGCATCATCCCGTCTCCGTCCCGGCCTGGGCTTTGATTTGGTTCCATTTGTTCTCGGGTTGACCTTCCTGTGGTTCGGGCTGGTTTCCAGGCCTCCTTCAACGAGGTAGAGTCCCTTCCAATCCCTGGAGTCTCTGTCAAAGTCGTTCAGCGATTTGTCTCTCTACTATAGGTCTCGTAGACTTGGACAGCGACGTCGACAGTGACTTCGGATAATCAATTTACGAGTCGATGCGACAAAAAGCACAACACCATCCGAATCGAGATGATCAGACTCCATGCAAAGCAGAAAAAGCCTGTTCAGCGTATAGCTAGCCGTGGTCTTCGCTGGTTGTCGTCTTCGTTCTTCAGAGGTTCTTGTGTACGCACAACTTCTTCGAACCACAGGTGGCCGTCTGGCTCCAAATGCTCATCATATACGAATCTCTCTAGAACGGGTTTTGCATCCTGCCAGGTTGTAACTTTCATTTGACCGGCATGCTTTGCCAGTGCCGTTATGAACCACGGTTCTTCTAGTGGTTCAGTCTTTATATTCAGATTGGTACGCCGTACCTTGATTTTCTGGCGTTGCTCGTACAGCGCGCCGGCGTAGAGCATCCACAGGTATGCCTCCTGATAATTTATCCATTCGACTGGATTTAGCATCTCCATGGCTGTCACCAAGTCCCGCGCCAGTCGAGGCATGATGACGTGCGAAGCTTCTCGTATGTCAGCACCATCCTCTATAATCGCCTCGTGCACACGTTTACGGCTTTCATACACCAGTGTGAGAACCATGCATGCCTGCGTCAGTCGGTGGCCCTCTGAATTGAAGAGGATTCTCCCCTCCATTATATCCACGTACAAGTTGATCAGAATTCCGAGATCATGAAACGTCTTGGTCGCAATCCAGGCAAAGACCATATCGGCCTTGAGCTTCTCTTCAGCAGTTGCGAATGGCAACGGGGTTTCAGCGAGCCACAAGCAATATCTCAATCTGACCATTGCTTCGCGATGCTCAGCAATTTCCACACACGGGTGAGCGTTGTGGACTTCTATCGGAGGGACTGGCATGTAAGGAGAAGCAAGTGCCCATAACCTAGCATGAGCCATCGCGGTCCAGTTACCGAAAGGCACAACTGTCCTTTCCAGTTTCTTGCAGGCCAGTTCGGTGGCATCGAACATCATAACCAGAGTGTGCTGAACACGCTCCATCTCGTCAGAAATGGGGTCGGGGAGACGCAGAAGGATGTCCGCATGAGCCTTGGCTGCTATCGTGTCTCCCGCCATACACTCCGTTTCGAATAGACAGCGAATATGTAGTCTCAACGCTACCAACGATTCGGGGGATGTTTGCGGGCGTCCAGCGAGCTCTTCTCGCAGCAATTTGAGGCTTTTGGCCCGCATTTTGAGCCTCGCTGTCGAAAGTTGCCTAGTGGTTTGGGCAGAGTTAAGACGCACTATGCCAGGAATGTGACCGCACAACCAGGCAAGAGCTGCGCCCTCGTTCATGTCTCTGAATCCCTTCATGCTGAGAAGAAAACTTGACCCTCCGATGACCCGATTAGAGTTCTCATAGTTGACTATCTTGGGGCCTCCTATGGTAAGGCGTCGGAAAAATGGTGGGCTGAAGATGTTTGGAAGCATGACGTCTCTTGCATAAGTGATGATACGGTTGACTTCCGGGGTGATTTTGATGGGGCATGCATTGAACGGATCAGATGAACCATGCAGGAGCCAGATCATTTCGCGATACTGTGGTTTAACCTGGCTGTTGGGTTTTTGCCCAATATGAACACGTGGTTTCCGATACTCGTGTTGCTCTTCTTTTCGTATCAGTTGTTGCTGTAACTTTGCCCATTTTCTTTTTTGATGGGATATTCTGGCTGCATGTGCCTTTATCTCCGCCCCCTCAAGCTCTTGCTCTCGAATAGGCCTGTCTCGTTTTGATGGGGACAGAAATTTGATGTTTGAATGGAGAAAGAGCACCATGTTGGCTGCACTGGCCGAGTCATCGAAGTATAAGTTGATGAAAAAGGGCAGAACTCAAACGCCGTGATGTGCAGCTTCGATACAAGGAGCAGGGGCATTCTCATTGTTGGAACACCCCACATTTTCTGGGGGATTAGCACCGTATATAAGGCTGCGTAGGAGCCGTATGCAGCTCGGCTTTCGGAGGGGCCGTTGGTTAATGATCTGCATTTTGCAAAATGGTGTGACATTCGGGTTCATGTTGGCAGCTTAGCTGATCTCCCGACGATTTGGGTTGGTCGTCGTTTGAGGGGGTATGACCTGGTTGTACAGAGGGTGCCTGCCAGGAAGACAAAAGCACGTCTTCCGCGATAGCGAGCCCCTTGCTCATCTTCGGATTAGTTAGTGTCCTCGGCCTGTAATCATGCTGGATTATGTCTGTTTGAAGGGTCGTCTCATTGCATTCTTCATCCCCCATAAAAAGAAGCTCAGCGGCCACCCTTTGAGTTTGGAATCTAATCCAAAACCGCAGTCGAGAGCGCTGACAAAGATCTCATATAAGCCGCATATGCTGTCTCTGGTTAGGGGTGTAAGGCTGCTTCAGCCGATTGAGTCATCCCAGAACGGTTGCTCAGAGGCCAATTACTCAGCTTTTGGCTGCTCTTTCTACCGCGATTCTCCCTGTAAGAACATGTCGGCATCCCCTGTCCCGCTCGAAGAGGCAGGCTACTCAATGAACCGGAGACAAGTGTGAAAAGGACGGTACACCCTTGTCTTGAAAAGGTCCACGGAGGAATCGTACATGACGAGATAGAAAGGCTCTGAAAAATAAAGCCATTGTTGCAAATTTTGGTCCGTAACAAGGTTGAAAGTCACTGTACATTGTGCTGTAGGAGGGAACGACCTTTTCTGCACGAGGGGTGTTCCTGTTGAATCGAAGCACAACGATTCCCTTTACGCTTGATTCGACCGAGCATTTGGTTCGACTATTCGTGTCCAGGCTGTTCGGTCGGCAGTACGAGGTATCGGGCCGGCCAGATCCTCTAGTACCATTAAAACTTCGAATCCATCATGAGGAACATACATACGCTCGCTCATATCAATAAGTCCTCGTTTCCTCGTTGTAAGAGGTCATAAACAAGAGTCTCCGTTATTGGAGAACATCTATTTCGGTAATGTCTCCATTATGACTGTTGACCGGGTGGCATACTAATCAGCGGCCAGCCCAATGGGCCTGGGCCGTCGAAGTAATGGTTTGGTGAGAAGTTCATCTGTGGGTCGCCGCCTGCCCCAGCCGCTGCTCCTCCGAGATTGTTTTGATTCTGCGGTGGCGTGGGATAACTCATGTAGAGGCTTCCCGAATCATTAAGCAATGAAGCCAAAGATGTGGGAATTGTTGGGATAGATACGGATGTGGAGAGCCCACTAATCGGAGTCTGAGGGAATGCGGCAAATATGGGTGATGTGACAGTACTTCCTTGCCCAGACCCTTGTCCTGATGGTAACGGATGAGGGAGGAAAGGATATGACCCATCCCAATGCCGCTGAGGCTGTGGGTGAGTCAATGGAGAAGGTGGTTGGCTTTGTGGTATCCCTTGGGATGGCATGAACACCAGTTGGGGAAGGCTATTTCTGTGCATCGTTGCATTTGGGCTGGTGTTCTCTTGGAATGGAAGCGTATTGGGCTGTTCAATTTTCAACGGCCCACCGGCATTAAGCAGGTTGACTGGGCTTAGTGGACTTTGAGCATTTTTGGTGGTTGGAGGCTGTTCAATCAACAGCTTTCGACACTCATCCTCAAGGGCTTGCACGCGAGGCTGAAATTGTCTCTGCAAGTGATTTCCGGTTCCTAAAGTGCGTTAGTGGTGGAACCTTGTTGGAAAAAGCGTCGACTCACTCAGGACAAGGTCTGCATATGCCATCAACGATGTCCAGCCTTTAAGTTCATTCCGCATGACCTCGAATTGTTCAACGGTAACAGGCCCCTTCCTTTTGTAGACATACAGGGTGATGCCGAATCCAGTTGCATATGCCAAGGTAGAATGCCACGTGAAATCCACGCCTTTGTATCGGCTCGACAGGAGGTGAAAGCTTTGCAAGAGACGTTTGGCAGATTTATGACATATATCTAGATGACGTTCCTTCACTTCAGGATCGTCACTAGTGCAACACACTGGATGGTGCAAGTTTAGCTGATATTCGGCAGCCCAGGTTTCGAATAAAAGGGTCGCAACCCGTAAATTGACGTGTTTCGGCTCATTTTTGGTCGACTCATCCCAGTCTTGCCGCCAGGCGATTATTTTCGTGTTTAGCGCTTCCACGGTTTGAAGGTATTCCGTTGCGGGCTTCCTCACGGCAATAATGTTGTTGTGTAATTCTGTGAGAAGGGGTAGGAGTTTTGCCAGGTGTAAACAGGGCCAAAACTCGCATTGACCTGACAATTCCGACGCAAAACCGTCTTTGGATATTTCAGAATCTTTGATGGCTCTGGGTAAAGGGATATCGATGTGCTGGAACTGCCACGGCGCTGGGAGGCCCACCCGGCAGCCTGTCGTCACGCACACCCCCAATATGGAATGAAAGACTCGTTTCCGAAGCTCCTTTGATAGTGGATCGTTCTCACCCTCGGGAAGTTGGACCTTGTCTGGGTCACGATGATATTCCAGCTCGATAGCTCGTACCAGGACCTCATGACAATAGTTCCAGGACACTCCAGGTTTAGGCAAATTTCGAAAATGGATAATGATCAACGCCATTGCCTGCATTGACGCAAGCGACCGGTCATGGAGGAGTTCGCGGTAAAATCCCAGGGCGTAGTGAAAATAACGGTGGGAATCCTCAAACTTTTCAGCAGAATGCAGATGGTTTCTCACCGCCGTTTGATGGGCGATTATGGTGAAGACAATCACCACCTGAATCCGCTCGGCGACCTTTAACGTGCTCGGCTGCTCGTAGAATCTGTTAACGAGCTCCATAAAGCTGGGTCTGTGGACGATTGGAACGTATTGTGACATTATGACCAGGAAATGATTGGCGTCACGGAGAGCTTCTTCCTTCGGTGGCAATTTCGGATCCCCTACTCGCTGATACCCATAAATGGTATTAACAATCGATGTCCTAGAGAGGTTGAACTTATCCTTGATTTCATTTGGGTAGTCGTTCATCATTTCACATTCCCAGTCTGCAATGTCGATGTTGCCGTCCAAAATGTCCACGACAGTACCCTTAACAGGACCGGAATAAAGAGGTTCACAATAATCTGGGGAAGGCCAACCGATATATTTCGCATCAGGTCTTGATGGCGTTGGAGACGCAGAATACGATGTGAACTGGGACATTGAACTTGTGGAAGTCGCTGGAGGTGCGATGCCGTTGGGTTCTGTCCGCTGCAAAGAGCCATATCTGCGCTGGTAGGCGGCTAGTTGCTCCCTCAAGAACATCAGCTCATTCTCGGCGCGATGGGATTCTCCTCTTTCTCGTGCTTGCCCGGTGACACGATCCGTGGTGTAGCACCGCAAAGCCTTCTGACGACAAGGCTGACATGCCATTGGGTCTGTGTCACATTTCATTTTCCTCTCTTTGCACCGGTCGCAGGCCTGTCCTGTTCGAGATGTCGATGCCAGCTTTTTGCGGACCGCATCGCTGTACTGCGCAGGTTCTTCGGGGAGGGTCTTGAGTCTCTTCGCAGAAGGGACATGGTCATCGATGGCAGAAGAGGGAGTTGGTCTCTTCGAAGTAGCCGCGTCCATGGGAGGACAGATCCGACGTCGTGTGCAAGAAATCCGTGGTGGTTGCGAGAACGAGGTTCAATGGGAAAGTGTCGGTTTTTTTGAAGGGCCAGGACTGATGGCATGTACCGTGGCACAGGCCCCATAAAAGGGGTCCGAGTTGAGTCTTAGCAATTGCAAGATGGGAGCCGCAAATGCAGACGACTCAAGCCGGATGCGCGATGGTCCAAGTCCAGGTCGAGGTGTTGTATCAAGACTCACTGCATCTGGATTAGCATTTCCAAGCTGCTTGAGATCGAAGTCATCACGAAAGGGTCCAAACAAGGGCAGGCAGCTACGGGGGGAAGCTTTCCGGACTAGTTAGGGCCAACAGCTTGGTCTCTAGGTGACACAGTGACGTAAACTACAGGCGCCAAGGGGGCTCTGTCTTGCGGGATTGGCGGGCTCCTAGGCGTGAACTTGGGTGCACTGCTTGGGTGGGTGCTTGGAATACTGGCTGCACCTCGATAACCGAAACCACATGCCTGGCACTTGCCACAACCCACTTGGAAAGCTTGGGGAGCATACCCCAAAATCCACTCAAAAGATAAGTCAGCACACGAAAGGGTACGGAGCGAGGGAGTATATCCCAAAAAATAACCGCCTCTGCTATTACCTCTGCTTCAGACGGCTGCGACTCACGTGACCCGAGAAGGCCCAGTCCTTGGCGTCGAGAAATAATCTCCGGGCTCTCGAGATCCAGACCATTGCCATGTAAACGACAGCAATTCGACGATGGATCTTGCATCTCTCCTTTGGTTAATTCCCTGCGCGTGATGCCTTCCTCACACCGTGGTGTCTCTCACGATCGGAAAATCCCTCACCAGTTATCCCGTTCTCAGCCCCCACTTGACGTCGAAGAGCGATCTGCGAGAGCTCGTTCTCGTGGTCGAGAAGTAGGCGAGTCTTTGTTCGTAGAAGACCACAAAGGGGATCGTCAAAATTTGACATATGGGTCGTTGGATCGACATGCTATTCCGCGCTATCGACTAGCCGGTCACGGTGGCTTGCTCGGTTTGGGTCCGAATTATCGCATAATCTCACGGTCAGAGTCTCACCTCGATGTGGAAAATGTCGAGATTGATTCAACACGAAGGTCCCGTAAACAGTCTCTACTTTGGAACCTTCCCAATGACGATCAAGAAGTGCTGAATGTTCAGTCTGGAGTTAGCAACGTACCAGATCTCCACAAGGACTTCCTGAGGTTGGACCATGATCATCCAAGGAAACGGAGACGAATCTTGCCAGGTTTGGAGCATCCGAGTTTGGAAGGCGACGAAAGTGATGAGTCGGACTCGGATATCCAAGGGCGTGCAAGTTCTGAGAATGCCTTTGAGGATTTCAAAAGAAACCCTGTTCATCAACGTCACATCGAACTCTTGAGAGCCACGGAAGCGAGGCCCGAGGACGTGTCGGCCTGGCTTGCCTTGATAGAGTATCAACCGGTCTTCTTCAGCAGTGCACACGACTCCCACAGCTCCGGTCCTTCCTCGTCCAGGGGCATTGTCGATCTGAAAATATCGCTGTATGAGCAAGCATTGTCACGCGTTAAGGCTCGCGAAGATAGAATTGTTCTGATCGTCGGTCTCATGGAGCAGGGGAAGATGGTTTGGGATGCAGATAAGCAGGCCTCCAAATGGCGAACCTTCCTCGACGACGATGCCACATTCGACTTATGGCGGCTTTACCTCAACTTTGTCCAAACCAATCACGTCAAATTTAGCTTTGAGGATTGTTTGAACACCTATAAGCAGTGGCTCCACGAGACTGAAAATGCGTGTGCAGACCGGACGAAAGATACGAGCTATATATACATTCTGTTACGCTTGACCTTGCTTCTGTGGCAATCCGGTTTTACCGAGCGCGCGGTTGGAATTTGGCAAGCGCTCCTCGAATTCAACTACTTTCGTCCCCCAAACCTCCCTTGCGCCGAGCTCGTACCATCATTCCAGGAGTTCTGGGACAGCGAAGTTGCACGGATTGGGGAGGAGGGCTCGGCAGGGTGGCGTTCAAATGCAAGTGCGGAGATCGAGCCAAAAAGCGACAAAATCTTCCATGTGCAAGATATGGATTTCGATGCCTGGGCATCCGCCGAAAATGGCCTCGAAAAGACAGCAGGAATGCCTGCAAGGGCTCTCGATGAGGTCGACCAGGATGATCCGTATCGCGTTCTTCTGTTCCCGGATATCAGAGACTTCCTCTTCTCCCCGACCACAGAAGAGGGCTCCTGGCTACTGCAGGACGCCTTCTTATTGTTTTTAGGGCTTCCCCCACTCTCATCACTACCTGAGTCCAGGGTGTGGGAAAGAGACCCCTTCATCTACAGCCAGTCCCCTGCGTACAGCATCTCTTTGCTATCTGCTGGTCTTGTGGATTACAATTTTCCCATGCGCATGCGCTTTCAAGAAGTCTTTCTAGAGTCTCGGCAATTGAACTCCGGGACACACAACATTCCATTTTCTCTCCCAGAGAGAGTCATCGCCTCCTATTTCGGCTTTGCTCGCCGGACCATATGTCAACTTGCAGGACTGGCTTTCGACGGAGAACTAAGAGAAGCACATATGGAATATGCGATTGCTTTAGAAGCTGGATTTGATTTGAAATCAGCCAGAAAACAAACGAGGTCGTTTCTGAAGCATAGGGCTGACAGTTTGAGACTCTATAATGCATATGCACTGCTTGAGTGCCATCTGGAGAACTTCGAGAGCGCAGAAAGGGTTTGGTCCACAGCACTGTCGATGCGATACTCGCTCAGCCAAGAGATTCAAATTGATTCATTCCTTCTGTGGCGCGATTGGGCATATTCGTACATGTGCCGGAGACAATTTCGACATGCTAGGACTCTCCTGGGCATGATAACAGACCCCCAGGTGGACATATCTCGGCTTCAACAAGAAATCGAAGCCAACACTAAACCCTCTGCTGCCCTGCAGATTAAGGTCGAGCAATACATCAAAACGCATATCGAGGGGAGCCGCTCCCTGAGTCGAGCAGAGCGATTACCGGCGTTGGTCGACATCCTGGCGTTTCACAAGTATCTCAATGCCGATTTATCTCTTGAAATTGCTCTAGAAACATACTCTGCATCTCTCAAATCGCTCGCTGGTCTGTCGACAATCTCTTCTGCCGTACTTGAGGCTATTCACGAGCACCGAGCTCGCTTTATCTATTCCCATTCGGTGACTTTCGGAAGGTCTTTCAAACCGAGCGAGCTTGGTCTTGTACTGAAGGGCTCGGCAGAAATGTTTCCCGATAACCTCAACCTTCTCCTGCTCCATCATTATTTCCTTCAGAAAGCCGGGCTATTTGACCGCCTGCGGCAGGTCAACCCCGAAGCAGAAGGACCGCGCCATAACCAAATCAAAGCAAGTGTGATTCCTTGCGTGTTTGACCTAATGGTAGAACTCAACAGACCATCGTACGCGGGGAGCACAGATCACTGCATCCGCTCGGCTTTTAAACGAGCAACTCAGCTAGGGTCTCCAGGGCATGATAGTCTCGAAATATGGAAATCATACGTTCTCTGGGAGACATCCCTATTGAAGTTCCATGATTATTCGGGTCCACAGATGAAGAAATCCACTCAACATAAAGAGAGGGCACCCTATCACGCAGCTATGGCAACACAGTCTTTTTATGCGTCGCTTCGCGCATGCCCGTGGTCAAAGGAACTATGCATGCTGGGATTTACAGAGCCTGTGTTGAGAAACGCAATTGGCGATGAAAAGCTTCGGCAAGTGTATCAAAATATGCTAGATAGAGGTATGCGGCTGCACATAGACATCTCCGATACCTTTCTGTAGACTTATCGCATATTATATCGTACGCCACACAAACAAGCAGGCAAACCTGGACAAGGATGCACGCTAATTCGCTTGGCGTGATCCTTATGCCCGCTATGTCCGAAGCCTCCAAATAATTTTTTAAGTTCCACGCTTGATTGACAGTGAAGTTTTCAACGACCAGATTCTATCGGTTCAGACGATTTCGTCGCAGCTAGTCACTGTGGCATTGTCGCTCATGGAAGCAGTTCCCAGTCTCTCTACCCTCCCTTTACGGCACCAGCGATGACCTCCACCTTTGCCGCGCAGCTGCGCACTATCGCCGCAAATTCTAGAAACGAACTCGACCTCCGCGCCCGACGGGATGCACACGCTGAATCGCTCCTTTTCGAACGAAATGTTGCCGCCAGTCAAGACTGGGAAACGATATACCAAGTATGTGTGAAAGGTTTCCAAGAGTTGTGCCTGTTGGACGCAAGACTGCACGAATTTGAACACAATCTATATAGTCCCGAGGCGAAGACGCAGGACAGAGAGCAACTCAGCAAGGCACAAAATGAAGCGCTAGGGCTCGTGTTAGAGCGATGCCTCACTCTTCTTGGATCAAAGCTGATGCTTCGACCTGGCGTGCAAGCAGTGGAATGGCTCGTGCGAAGATTTCGAGTTCACATTTACAACACAGATGTTCTTCTTGCCACGGTCTTACCGTACCATGAAACACCAATTTTTCGAAATATCTTGAGCATTATCCCAACAGACAAACTCGTCAATGGCTGGAAGTTCCTGGGTCCCTATCACAGTGAGGCAGCCAATATTCCTCGGCATGCTGTACTGCACAGTGCCACTCACAACGATGTCTTTTTCTCTTTCTTCAACGACTACACCTTGCAGGCATGCCAAGAAGGTGCGGCTCACCCACAACTCCACCGTTTCTGGGCCAGTGTTGTTGTCGAGGCCATCAGGGGAAGATTGAGCCAGGTCAAAAATGGGAGAAAAGAAGTACAAAAACAGCGGACAGAAGATGCGTTATTGAAGATTTTACCACTGCTTAATGAAGGACTGGAAGTCAATGGCTGTCCCGAGTTGACAGTTACTTGTTTCACGATTAGCCTCGTGTGTGCAAGCACTTTAGATCTGGAGGATCATGTCATTGACTCCTTGATGAAGGCTATTGCCCCATTCATCATCAACGAAACAGCGGATTCCAGGGAAGCTTTGGCATGTTTGGCTATCCTCGTAACAAAAAAGGCCGAAAAAAGAGTTTCCAAAGATGTTCTTGACTTGTTCATTAACATCAAAGATTTGGGGACGCGGTTGTCTCGGTCATTTGAACAAGTTCGCTTTGCCCCATTGTTCGAAGCCTTGCTCAGCTCAGCACTCCTGGGATTGAACGAAAATAATATGGACAGGAGAGTGCGGTTTGTCGAAGATATATTTGACACTGCTAAGGAGCTCTTCCCGGCAGCGACAAAAAGTCAGTTACTTGCCATTTTGCTTCGGAAGTTTTCTTCGACGGACTCCAGACTCTCACCAAAGTCGAAATGCTGGACACGGCTAGTCCGTCTACTACAGGCTCTGGCTGGCTCTTCCAACTTCTCGCCATCTTTGTCCAATGCAGTATCTTTAGCCGGCCGCTCTCAGTCAGAGGTAGAAGACCTTCTACAGAAGACGATCGAAGCTCCGCAACTACCTCTCCTCGAACACATCCCCATGGAACGTGACAGCCTCGAGGAAGGGTCAACAGATAATTCAGCTGGAGTGGAGGTGGTGCTTGCATCCCTACCTTCTGATACCACCGAGTCGTCATTCCTCGTTGCTGGGAAGCGTTTCCCGCTGTTCGATCAACTTGTCCAAGCTTTTGTGCTTTGCTGTAAGGAGAGGCGGCTCCTGGAACATTTTGAAGGGATTCCACTATGGCGGAAACAAACAGGAAGACCTTCGGATTTGCATACTAGCTTCCTTTTAAGGATGGCTCTGGGCGCCTTCTCAGTTACCCATCGGAATGCTGCTCTTCAACTTCTCTCGGAAGTCATCGAACAGGGGGTGGTGGATCATTCAGAGTCGCTGATTCCTTACCTTACCGTCCTCCTTTCTGATGATATCCAACATGTACGACGTGCATCCGTCGCTTGCATAGTGGCAATTTATAAGGCTGCCTCGAAAGAAAGCGATCAGCGCGCAGCAGAAACGGTGTACGATGCACTTGGCATGCCACATATCAAACCACTACCACCTTCGCAGGTTGCAAAAATCCTGGAGCAAGCATACTTGCCTTATTTGGAAGAATGCGTTTTGGATCGCTCCTACATTCGCACAGTTCTTCAGACAGCTTTTGACGGTCCTGATCGCACGCCTTCGTTGAAGACTGCCGATATCGAATTAAAGAAGAGCACAAAGCATGCGCTCTTTGATCTGTTGACTGGCTGTGCGTTAGGCTGCCCTCTGCTCAGAGTCAAGGTAGGAATACTTGAACTGCTTATGGGGATTCACAGAGTTGGCAACTCAAGCAGCAGCGAGATTCTTTCACCTATCCTCGAGGCCTGGGCATCATCGAGAGAAGGGGACGCTGAAGATGCCGCGTCATCAGAAGGTCTTTCCCTGGGTCAAGTTGATGCTGTAATGGTTCAAATCGTCAATGCGCGGGATAAGGAAGCGGTTGAGCATATTCTTGCAATGCTTGTTGATGATAAAGTCCAGCCTCGCGCTGCCCTGGTTACAGCTCTCTTCGACAGAATTGCCGATAGTTGGAAGGACATGCATCATGAGTCACAGATCTCTGCTGCTGTACGCCTATTCGATATGTCCTTCTCCAAAAACCCGGCTCAAGCTGCCGGAGCTCGTCAAGTTCTGCACACAGTCACTCTCTCTACTGAGGCTCTCGCTGCACTACTGGATCACTCATTTTCCGGTCTTGCTCAGATGCAAACGGATGTCCAACCCAGAAAGAGACGCCGTATAAGCCATGGGCGTGAAAGTATCCCGAAGGATCTAGCAATCGAATTGGATGTCAGCGAGGCGAGGCTGACGTTTGCGCTTGAGCTGATCGAAGATTCCAAACCACAAACCCATCCGCAATTGCTTGGGGGCATGTTCGAGGTGTTGATCATTCTAAGACGAGTTAAGGACATGGGTACATCTGAATCTCCTTACCTTCTCAACCTCTGCCTGAGCAGCATATTGGCAATCGTCGACAATGCACGAAAATCACCAAGACCAGCCATTGACGTCTCTAGCATTCGCACCGACTTGGTCACCGATTGTGTTCGATCATCAGAAAACCCACAGGTCCAAACCACAGCTTTGCTTCTCTGTTCCTCTCTGGCGTCTCTTGCTCCAGATCGGATATTGCATAGCGTAATGCCGATCTTTACATTCATGGGTAAGGGCATACTTTCGAAGGACGATGAACGCTCAATTTACGTGACGAATCAAGCTATCGACGAAATAATCCCTCCTTTAGTTGCCGCCTTGAAAAAGCAAGATGCCAAAAAACTTGTCCACTCTACTTCAAGCTTGCTCTCAAGCTTCGCTACAGCATACGACCATGTTCCTCAATATCGAAGGGCTGCTTTTTACCAACGGTTACTTAGCAGGCTTGGTGCTGATGACTTTGCGTTTGCAATCATTGCTCTTCTTGCATCAAGACGGCGTTCAGACGATCTATCTTCATTCTTTGCGGGTTTGATGGCCGACCTTTCAGCATCGACTCAGCTTCTGACCTTCAGAAAACTTCTCGATTTGACTACGGATATCTTCTCCGAGAATCCTCATAATGCTCTGCCATTATTGGACATCAGCACAACTACCCCGAATGTGAAGAGAGAGCAAGAAGCACTAGCCTTGCTTGGGGTAGCTTCGAAACTCCTTGAGCCAAAAAGTCTGAAGACGCAGGTAAATGGACTCCCAAAGTCTGATAAAGCCGAAAGTGAGACCTTTTGGGCCGAGTTCAAAATCTGCATCACCCGCATCCTGGGCATGCTCAAATCCCAAAAGTCCAGCCACAGTAATCTGATTCCACCCACAAGGAAATGTCTGAGCTCGCTCCTCGAGTTACCTACCCTTGCCGACCTTCTCAAGATTATGCCCGATCTACTGCACGATATGGTCCAACTCGGAGAGGGTCATCATGAGCTTCAACCTCTAGCGTTGAGAGTGCTCGCAACACAACTCCAACACAACGCTCCGAGCTCGAGGGATGCTAGAACGCAAGCCGAGGCTGTCGCGTTCCTCCCCACCCTCCGGCAAATCATCCGCACCACTACTGATGAGGCGTTCAGGCATGCTGCGATTGCTTGTCTCGATCGCATAATCGAGATGTATGGGCGCAAGAAACCGGACGATGTCATTGCCGCATCAGCTACCTTGATCGAGATTGATTGCGGGCTTGATTCCCGCGATGAAAGAACAAAGATCATGTCTCTGCTCTGTCTTGCGAGCATGACGGAGGTCGTTAAAGAAGGAGGGATTCCGATCGTGGCGCAGGCCCTTCCTCAAGTGTTGGATCTCTTGAAATCGTTCTTGTCAAAAGAGAGCGAAAGTAGGAAGACCGAAGGACGCGTGGAGCTTCACAATGCTTGCTTCGCATTGCTTTCTTCGTTCCTTACTCACACTCCCTACGTGATCAGTGACGAAAATGTTGCTGTTCTCCTCGATTTATGCTACCGCTCGTGCCTCGCAAAACCAGACGAGGCGTCGTGCAAGGAGGCTCGGCTCGAGGTGCTGGACCTCATGACTCAGAGATTGCACTTGAAAGGACTGGTGAGCAGTTTAAATCAGGCCTGGAAATCGACGGTTATCTCCGGCGGGGAGGTTGATGGAGAAGCGACTGCCGAGTATTTGGGTATGCTTTCTAAAGCGATTGAACGGAACCGGAAGTCCACGGTCGTGGGAGCCGCAGACGAGATATCGAGTTTCATCTTGCAGGCTTTGGACTTGCGACGGCTCAGTCAAGAGAAAGGCACTGCAGACGAAGAGAGCCATACCGAAGGCGCCCCCTCTTTGGACATTGAGGACGTTGAAAAGAGGCTGCATGAGTTGAGTATTGTGTTCATTTTTAAACTTAACGAGGCAACCTTTCGGCCAATCTTTGAGGGATGGGTCGACTGGGCGACCAAACGCAGCCTCGATGATTCCTCTTCAGTCGAGAGGGACTCGCAGGTGGATAGAGCACGGAGGGCGAGGCAAACAAGCTTCTACCTCCTCGCCACCCATTTCTTCACGAGGCTGAAGAGTATCGTTACGAGCTTCGCGAATTATCTACTCCCTCCAATAATCGACATCTTCCGGTCCACTACTGACGGTGCCGTTCCAGCCGCCACTAAAATGAAGCTGAACCCTACAAATCGAAATACGGTCGCGAAGCCCGCCGTGTATCCTGACCTCTCGGAGGAAACAGGTCTGAAACTGTACAAGTCGAGTCTGGATCTGTTGACAACAATCGCAACCCACGACGCTGATGGGTTCTTCACTTCACTCTCACATTTCCAGCCTCTGGCCGGGCTTCTCGTCGGGCAGTTGAGTCTGGCCTCGTTCTCAAAATCTAAACTCAAAGGCAAAGGTCAAGGCCAAGGCTCCTTACGAAACGTGGTAATGGATGGGGTGATCCCCTGCATCGTGGCGTTGGCAAATGCCGTCCAAGACGTCCCTGCACACCACCACGCCCTCAACCACCTCCTCTGCCAACTCCGCCACAGCAATTCCGCGGCCGTCCGCCTTGCGAGCATCCGCACGCACCTCGCACTCACCGAGTCCGAAGATGTGGGCGATGAGTGGCTCCAGAACGTCGTACTAGGCCAGTCATCATCGAGCGCTGCCGCGCTGACCGAAGGCGGCGTCGCGGTCGGCGGGTCGGGCGAGACTATGATCTACGTGAATGAGATGCTCGAAGACGACGACGAGATCGTCGAGGGCTGTGTGAGGGAGTGGGTGAGGATTGTCCGCGAACGGGTCGGCGAGGACGTTTTTGAAGTCTAGTCTCGCTAGACCACGAGGCTTGCTTGTCATGCGATAATTGGCTTACAGAATGAATGAATGAATGAATGAATGAATGAATGAACAGGTGGCCGGATGGGGAAATGGAAGTGGACGGAGGCAAAAGAAAATAAAATTAAGGCTGTCGCAAACCTCGAATCGAAGATATGTTCGTAGTAGTCACAGACAGATCGGCAATGCAGCCGGAAAGGCATGTTTTTAATATGTATAAAAGAAAATGCCATTGAAAAAAGGGGGAAGGGGAGAAACCTTTCTATCTGTCCCTCTTGTCTATCACGTCCCTTTCCTCGTCGCAAAACGAGTACAAGTAGATAAGTACCTTGATCGAGAACAGAAATAAAATCCAGGCCTTCGATTTGATTTGGTTCCTTATTTCCTGCTTCGAATCGCAGCGAACGAATCCGAATCGATAAACACGCACATAAACACACAATCCCTCCGCGCCCAGCGAGACCGGCAGGACGTCGCGAAGCCTCTCTTTCAATGTATACATGCACAGTCAGCGTTCTTGATCCTTCATCCCGACATCTCTCTTCGCCTCTCAGCTGTCAACGTTCTCACGACACCTTCTCTGTCCGCAATACCAATAGCGTCCTTGTAAAATCTGAGAGCACTGACCACCTATGTAAGTAATGGCGATGCAAAAATCCGAGATGTTCCGCCAGGGGATTTCTGGAGATGAAAGAGATGAATAGGAAAAAGGCGAGGCAAAATCCATAATCGTGAGTCGCTTTGTCGCAAATGTCGGTTTTTGTTTTTGGTTTCTCGAAGGCTCCGTTGTAAGTAAAACGACGACACCGCTCAGGGTATTACATGCAAGCTAATTTGTCGAGATGTCCCAATCAACACAAAACCTCGGCAATGTCCAGGACTGCAGGGGTGCTCAGATGTAAACCATGTGTTTTTGGATGTTGGGATGGACTTCGAGGCAGCGCCTGATTTGGGGCAGTTCGCTGTCTTCAAAGATTTTGGCCGGGTTGTCGTCTTCTCTCGGAGGGTTGTAGAACGGTCGGACAAAACACCTCGCACGGTCGGCTACCAGGTCGGCGTAGTAGACTGACGTGCAAAGCCCGACCGCAGTTCGCGAGCGCCCAAAGAGACAGCACAAATGATACGTCTGATTTCATGATGGTTGTTAGGATGGGATCCAGGGATAAGACGTTGAATTGGACGGAAGACCTAATTTACTATCCTTGCAATGTCCTGGATGTCGTAGTTGTGTGGATTTTGCAACACATTGTAATGCTCTGGTATCGTGGTGCCCCCAATGGCCTTCTGACCGATCAGGAAAAAGTCACTCCCCTGCCCATAGTTGCTCCGGTCCACCACCACACATCCTGGCAGTGCATTGTTGCTGATGGTTTCGTCTTTATTTCGGTGATTCAATACAGCACTTGGAGGTTGAAAAGGTGCTTTGAGATCGGTGTAGTGACGTTTGATAGCACAGATAATCGTGACTGGGGTAGAATCTCGACGGGCACTGACTTTTGCTCGAAGAGTTTTCTCGCCGCTGCTCCGATCTTGCCGTATTCGTACTCTTTGCACGTTGTAAATTGTGGTTCCGAAACCCCGTCGCGGTAAACGATGATGTGGTCCGGGATGCCGTTATGCTTTTGCCCCTCTGAAACCTTGCCATGATTGCCGATTGTAGTAATCAAGGAATCGCTGATGCACGGCACTGTCCAAATCCAATATCTTCTCGTTTGCTTCCTTCTCTTCTTCATCTGTCGTAGAACATGGGTTCGCTAACAAAATCGCTGGCCACTGTGAGAATTCTGCATTCACTCTGCCAACCACGGCAGCAAAGCTAGGGCAGTGCTTACTTGGTCCGCTTCCATGTGCCACATCAATACCAATGATCATCGTCTTATGTGACAGAATCTTTGGGTCACCACACAAGGCCTGGTTCACCGTAGTCTCATCCACTTTTCAAGTTGATCTTCTAGAAAGTCGTCGTTGGGCATGAGACTCTTACCCTTGTGATAAGCCGGGGGTTTGGGGCCCAAGTACTCCGCCCGAGGGTTTAAGCACATGACAGACAGTGGATATTCCGACACGTTGATCTCTAGCTCGTTTGATGGCGCCGTAGATTTCCAGGTTATGAGAAGGGATAAGCAAATAACTTGTTGGTCACCCTTTTCTTTGAAACGTTTGAGCAGCCTTTCGACGGCATCATCCTGCTTTTAGAAGCTCGAGATCGTCTTCGACTTCAGAAACATGTTATCGTCAGCGTACTGCTGCTGGGTCTGGTCGCACTACTCAAATCCCTCCATGGCGTAATCATGCTTCGCTTGTGTCGGCTCGTCCACAAAACGCAGCTGCTCCGCCTTCGGCAGCGTTCTTGGAATAAAACGTGCGACAGCCACGTTTGACAATCATCCGATAGTTTTCTTCTGGCTATCGAGTCGAAAATTGGGGGATAACGCCAGATTTCAGGCGTCCGGGCACGACTTGAAGCAGGTTGGCTGAGACGGCCATGTACCCTTTCTGTGACTCTTTCCCAATTTTGGCGACGTAGATGTCCGTGTCCATCTTCCAAATGTGCTTCATGGAAAAGTTGTCTCTGACGTTTCCACCAGAATGCTGTTGATTGATCTGTCGCATCTCGCAGAAATTACCTCTGGGTAGTCGGTCAGTGCGGCCAAGGCGTTTGATTCTAGAGAACCGGTCTAGCCCTTGCTCCTGGAGGCTTTCCCTTACCAGAGCCCGGCACAGGTATTTTGAAGCTGATTAAGCCGGTCCGGAGTGGAAGAGGGATATTGATTTTGCGAGGCTTCAATCACCTTCCCGTGCTGCCAAAAGCAGAGTGTCTTGATGTAGATGTTGAGGTCCACGAATCCGGGGGAGCAGAATGATCCCCGGACGCTTCTTGAGATTCCCAGAATACTGTAGAGACCACCTTTGCCCTCTAGCACTTTACCAGTTTCTGTTTCCCAAGGGCCAGACCAAGGAAGAGCCGGTTGGGGAGCAATACCGTAGAACATCTGTCCCTTTACCGTGGCCATTTTGGAAACTGTTGTGTAACTCCCAGAGAAGCACCGCTGGCAAGGCAAATAGCTGAGGATGACGTGAAGAGCGTTGATTGCATCAGACATCTTCGTTCGATTCCTGCGTGACGGCTATCCGAGATTGTATAGATCGGCGCGATAGTGCGTAAAGAGATTGTCTGGGGAGATTACCGTTGGTTTTCCAAACGTCGCACGATAGTTATCATAACCTGGAGCAGGACCGGCTGAGTGCTCGTCATAAAGTCGAATTCGCGCGGCTTGGTGATGTTCTCATCTAGTTGCACCGACGTGATCAACAAGTTCAGGTAGTCAGTAGCGACCGGATCCGGAAGCCTCTTTTCAAGTCTAAGTTGCTGAAGCAGAAGGCAAACCAGTCGTTTCTTCTTTTGTCTTGCAATCGTGTGTGTTACCTGGTTAATAGCATTGCCGCTGTTAGGCTCAGGGCATTGACTGTGGTTATCCCGTACTTCTGAGGGAATCTGCTAATCTGCAACTTATTCGAGTAGACTTGCGTGTATTTCCCAAAAGCGATGGGGAAGTCGTTGACCAGCAGCTCTTTCCTTAGAATTTCGTTGTTCGATGTGGGTTGAGTTCTCGAGCTGAAACCTGACCGACAACCTCTCGAGCCAGAACCTCCCTGGGGAGGTCTCGGGCGGTGGGCTAGCTGGGAGTGTCCCGGTCTTCCGGCTGCTTGAGAATCCCTCCAGCTGGCGCTGGCTCGGAGAGGTGCCGAGGGAATATTTGCTAGTCTGGGTGCTATCCGAACGTGGGGGAGCTACTGGCACAGTTGGTCGAGAATCAGCCACCGACGGAACAATTAGTTGAGCAATCCACGAGGAGTCGTTTGATCGGCCGTCATCGCGAGGGAAGATTGGGTTTGCATGGTAGATCGGTTGTCTCTCGCCAGCATTGTCGTTGGTAGTGGAGCGTTTGGGAGGACCCCAGTTGGGGTTGTAATGAGACATCTTGGTGAGTTGAGTGACGAAAAGGATAGTTGCAAGGAGAAAGCGACATTTCACTCCAGCGAAATGGCTTGACCTAAATCACGTCAGCAAGACGAATGAGGACAGTTTGAGCCCAACCAGACCAAGCTGTTTGCCGCAGTAGCTACAGCAAAACGCTGGCATCTTTGGCTTGCTAAGTGCCAAAGACGCGAAGAAGCACTGGCAGAACAAACTATGCGCTCTTCCGAAGAGAACAATGATGGAAAGAGATCTAGGGCTAGAGGACAAAGCATCGACGTGGTGTAAACAGGAGCGGCCCGTAAGGTTTTGGGTATGAAACAAAATGCAAGATACCCTTGGGATATTGGTTATCCGTAGACCAAAGACCAAAGACCAAAGACCAAAGACCAAAGTGCCCAAAGTGAACTGGGCAAAGTCGGGATGTAAGTTGCTAAAAAGAGCTTTTTTGGACCTGGTGATTGTCAGTAGGCAAAGAGGAACATCCATGAAAAAGTGGAAGGATTCTCACCCTCACCATAGCAACAGACTTTCCTTGCCGTATCACGTTGATCCCTCCTTTTGCCTCCCTCTCTCTCTCAAGGGGTGGTGGCTTTTGGTCCTTCTTCAACCCGTCTCTTCAACTCGCCATTAAACTTGTCCAGCTGCTTGACCAAACCGCTCATCATACTGCCTGGAATCAACCCGCTCAATAACCCTTCTGCATCTTCACCGTGATCAAACAACGTCTTCCTCCCGGAATCCTGCGCCACAAGCCTAAACCAATGAATGCCTCTTAGAGCCCATCCCAGCGATTCGGGCAGCGGGCCGCCCTTCCACGCAAACTCTGTCTCTTCGGGGTTCCAAGTGGTGATGCGTGCTGTATATGTCCTAGGCTTCGCGGTTTCAGACATCTTATTGGAAAAGGTGACCAGTGTGCCTCGTTCAAGGGGGTTCGAGTGGGCACGGATGGATAAGAACCAAGTGTTCCAAGTCGGCCAGCTGGGGAAATCAACGAGGACCTTCCAGACGTCCTGGGGAGGCGCGTCGATAACGATTGATGATAATGCCGGCATAGTGGTCAAGCTGTAACGGCTTTCACTGGACAGAATGAGGATGCCCTAGATGGGTCTGTCAGCTGTACGGCAGTGAGGAAAGAAGGACATGGCGGCGCAGGAACGTCTTAAGTAGTAGTTCTTCATGGATGCCTGATTGACAAAAAGAACCAGGCCATGTTCGTATCCCATGCCGAATGCCCAGCAGGGGCTCCATCGTTGTTCAGATGCCGAGTTTGTTCAAGCTCTTGCAAGGAAGAAAGCAGGGTGTCAGCGCAAGCCGACCGAAGTTTGGTCCGGTCGCTTCGGCGCCACCAATTTCATATTCGGAAGAAATGGCCAAGACGAGGTGTGTCAACCACAAATACTCCGTGCTCGACAGTCATTGTAGACTCCGAGATCCTACGCTGCCTCAGCACCGTCTGATATCATCATTAGCAAATTGCCTGTTCTTGTAGACCTTTCAAAGTGTTTAATACAAATCGTCCGATGGCCTGTGGTCGTGGTAGGCTCAGCCCATATTCCATGCTCAACACACACAATCCTCCTTGAAAATGCCCGACGAAGCGTTGCAATGCAAATCCCATTGATGAACTCCCATCAGCTCATGCCGTAACTCACGTCTTCGTGCTCCTCGTCTGCCTGGTCGTCCGCACTGCCGGCTTTGTTTTTTGCTTGGCCACTGTACTTTCCCTAGTCGTAGTTTTCTTGCCTCGTCCTTTCTTTCCAGCAACTGCATTCCTTTTGTCCCTCGAGGGCCGGGATATATCTTGCTTCTCTGCCATCTCATCATCGTTTTCGCTGACGGCGGCAGCAGCAGCATTCTCATCCTCGTCAACATGGGCAGGATCTTCGGGACCTCTCTCCTGAGCTGGCCTCTCAACGTTGTTCCTTGGTTCTTCGTGGGTTGTGTCTTCGCTCTCGTCTTGGTTGTCACCGTCGCCATTCTCCGGCTGGTCCTGGTCTTCGTCCGGCTCTCGCTTCTTTGGCATGACCCTTTTCCGAGCCGTTGGACTTCTTGCAGGAGACTTCATGTCTTTCATTTCAACGTCCCCATCCTCTGTATCTGACTCTGCATATGATACGACGTTGGAAGTACGAGTACTCTTCCGTGACGGCAGGTTCGGACTGTTAGCAAGCTCGGAGCTCCTGCGCTTCGGTTTCGGTGTTCTGCGGATGGCAAGAGTACTCTTCTTCGGCCTCTTTGCCGCTTTCTTTCTCCCTTCCCAATCATCCTCATCGTTGTTCAACCCCGCGGCGTCACTGTTCCGCTTCTTCTCGGCCACCACTGCCCGCTTAGGCGGTCGGCTTGCATTCTTCAACTCTTTAATATAGGACCGAATCATCTTCTCTAGTCCAATAGCAACATCCTCGGGCAGGTAATTCTTCTCAGCGATTTCCTGCGCTGCTTCGTGGCTGGGAAGTGATTTGAACAAGTTGCGCGGGAGGCTGACTTTGCCGGGCCATGTCTGCAGAAGGTTGAATCCCCTGGCATGCGTTGGCATGATATCCGCGTAATTTCGAATCACCGCCTGAGACAGATCGCTGAGAACATACAGTCGCTCACTTGCTTCATCAGTGCCTGTGATACCGTCTCTGGCAGCCTTTACCCGCTGTGCAATGTGGAAGATCAACGAAAGGTTATCTTCCGTGGCAACAGCCCACAGGTAGAAGACAATATATTTGGCAAAATCGAGCAATTCTTCCTCAAAGTCGGCGCTGTGTGGGGCGGGATAATCCGGATGATGAGCTAGCAAACTTAGGAGACGTGCAAATGTCGACTCCATTACGTTTTGATTTCCTTTCTTATTTGCAGGACTTGCTTGGAGCTGCTGCCTGGCAAAGAATTGTACCCGGGCTCGAATCCAAGTCACAGTCGACGTTCGTAGCTCCGTGTCTGGCTCGAAAGCTAGAAGAAAGAGCGCCGTGAACCACCTATGGTGCAAGCGGTTCAGACCAAGATACTTTTTCAGTGAGTTAACAAACCCAGCCCGCACTGGATTGGGAGGATTGATTATAATCATCACGATTGAAATGAACGTTCGAGGGTCGATGAAGTCGTCACACTTTCTCTTATGACTGCAGAGCTTCAATATCAGGTGTGCAGCGATGAGCCTGAGTCGATTCTTCTGCGAGGGCGGTGTATCCTTCGACGGCGTTATTTCTCCCTCATTCTGGATCAAAGCCGTGAGGTGCTTCAATGTCTCCTTGGTCAGTGCCACAAATTCGTCGGTATCCGTGGTTTCATCCTGGGCCCTGCAACGATTCACGAGAATCCTCAAAGCCAATTCTTTGGCTCTTGTCTCGTCGTCAGGCCTCTCGTCCCAAGCACTCGGATCGTTCTTCTTACTAGGCGACTGGTTTTGGAGTAAGATTTTCGAGACAGCAAGCTCCTGAATGGCATCCAAATCGACTTTTGCCGCGGCTGGTGCGAGGAGGCAAACCTGCGCTATCGCAGCCAAGCGTGCAAGGAAATGAGGATTGTCGGGCTCAATAACTTTCAACGCCTTTGTCAGGAGGTCTTTTGCGTACATTTCCTTTTTGTCAGCCGCCATCATGATAATGGTCACGGCATGTTTCGCTGCTCGTGGGGATTTCGAGAACAAAGCGAACTGCGCCAATGCAGTCAGAAACTTGCGCTCCTTGGGCATTTCCAACGGGTATTTTCGAGCAAACGCCGCGCATGCCTTCAGAGTATCAGGCGCACCGTCTTGTTCGGGTCTTATAGCTGCTGGCGCTTCGTCCTCGAGCTCTTTGCACAACGTCTGAATGTGGTATTTGAGCACTTCTGGGTTCCTAGCTGAGATCTCCTTCAGGACCTCGTGGGCCACTTCACCCAGACCACTCTCATCAGTCCGCGAGATCGCCATGATCGTTGGGACATGGCTGCGATTATAGACGAGCAGTGCACACCTGTAAAAGACCGATTGAATCGTATCAACAAGCGATTGCAAAGTGCTCGGCGCTTCGCGTATTCGTTTGATGAGCTCTTTCATGGCATTGGTGACCGTTCGGTAATCGTGCTCGGGACCAGTGGCAAATCGTATCAATTGATACCAACGACGATTGTGTTGCTTGGCAAACCTCCAGAGGTCAGCGGCAAACTCAGCAGGATCAGGGAAGCTTTTCGACAGCTGCTCGATCATGCGGGTGAGACGCTCCTCCAGCGCTGCCTCCGATGAGCCGTCATCCACAACGCCTCCATTATATGCCTCACAGGTCTCCAAGAACACTCTGATGCCTTTGCTCATTTGCACCTGTCGATTCTGAAGGCTGTAAAACACCGCTCGAGGTCTCGTATCCAAGCTTCGAACTAGCGTTAGGATGCGACGGGCTCGAATGGCGTCAGGATCGAACACCGATTCTTCTTGTGAACCACCGTCTTTTCCTTTGGCTCGCTGTTGTTGGCTTTCCGAGCGGGATATTTGGACTTTTGATGGCGGGAAAGAGAGTGGCAATAGGCTTTCATACAGCACTCTGTCAATGACAGCGTGCACGTGCGGTTCGTTCGTGAAATAAGCGCCAAAGATACGGTTTGGAATCTCCCCGATGGTGCTTTTGACGACTTCGCTACCCGACTCGATATCGCGCGAACCGACGCCCCAAATCCGACCAAGCAATTCAAATGCTGCCTCTCTGACGTGGTGCTTTCGATCAATGACGCGCTCAGCCAAAGAGGAAAACACGGTGTACGGCTCCGCTAGGCCGCCATCCGCTCCCAGAATGTTGATCATATCCTCGTAGGGGAAGTTGTCGACGGACTGGATGGCTGCTAGCCGAACATGTTCTTCTGGATCGCGAAGCATCTGAGCAAACCCAGAAAGCAGGTCCTCAAGCTCTTGAGGATTCAGACCGATGCCTCCAGCCGAGGTGCGCAAGATTCGACCAGCCGCATTGGCCCATGCTTCGCGAACAGCATATGACTTGTCATTCCGACGGCCGAGAAAGGACCGATATGTCGCGGCGTGGACCGCCATAAAAGGCTTGGGGGAGGCAGGAGTTAAGAGCGGGTTTGTGGTTTGCGCAGGCAGCTCTCTTGGACGGTCAATCGAGGGCAAGGGGTAAGCAGCAGGATCGAGGCGCACAGATGGAGGCAAGCCGGCAATGCCAATACCGGCAGTGATATCTCCAACAGTTTCAGTGGCCAGGCGACGAAGAGACGGGGAATCAGCGGAGAATTCTTCCTCGATTTGAGGAATGACATTCAGGAGAACATCTGGGCAGGCACGCCACAACTCTCGAAGTAAACGATGGGCTTTCCGCAAATCTGCTAGGCCCTCTCTTTCTTCACCATCGCCATCCAGGTCCGAAGCAGTACGCCTGTGGGAAGGCTGAGGGACATCATTAGCAGCGGTCGCGTCGACGATGACAGTTCCAAAATATTGTGTAATATGAGCCGTCATTTTCTCGGGACAGGTGGTGCACAGCGACTTTGCCATGTTGTATGCTGGAGGGTACTCCTTGAGGAGCAATGTCCCTTGCTTGCTGTCACGAGCATCCCGTTTCTTGCCTTTGGTTCCGTGGTCCTGAGCATTTCGGGTATCCACGCGCATAAACTGGGAAATGATGATGTCCGTAACTTCTTGAGGGAGGGTAACCTCATCGACAACTGCAGCCAGAAGGTTCTTTAGGTGGTATTCCACGCTCTTTGAAACCTCCACACCCGAAGAGTTATTCCCAGAGCCCGCGACAATATCAAAAGCTGTGGTGAAGAGAGACGTGATCAAGGTCTCGTGGTTCGGAATGTCGGTTACCAGTAGGATGCTCTGCGACTCAGCCAACGAGTTGAGGATGTAGACATGTTGCGCATTGTATGCATTGGTTGGATCTGCAAGAGCAGGGAGAATGGAATTGATAATGACCGTGAAAATGTCCTACCCCTCTTGTCAGTTGCGACGCTTACAGCTAAAAGCCACTGAGAAGAGCCAGCCCACCTTCAATTGCCCCTCGATGAACGGCGCATCCGGGGCGCAGATCTTGAGAACATCCACAATGCAGGAGACGGTCCATGCTCTCACGCCTTTGTCCTTGTGGCCGAGGAGATTTGGATTTGCCAGATCGTGCGCAAGGGTGGTAAAGGCACGCGAGTCGACCTCATCCAGGTCATAATGGCGCAGCTGGCCAGCGAGCTTCTGGAGTCGTGTGAGAAGGTCTCCCACGGCAATTGGTTTGCCGGCGCGCCATGTCAGGGTGTCTTCGAACTGCAGGCCTGGTATGTCATATCGACGTTGACTCTGCACAGCTTCTGCTGCAGCGGCATTGCGAGGCCGAGAGGGCATGATGCAAAGAGGGGTGTCACGGGGCGACGATCATTTTCGAGAAGCGTTGCGAGACACGATCGGAGGATGGAGAACAGTTGTTCTACACGACCAGGATGCGCCGTTGTCAGGTTGAAGGCTCGATGGTAGTTAGGTGCAGCAAGGGAGGTAGGATGTAGTGGTGCTGGTGCTGGTGCTGGGAGCAATGCCAAATTGATGATGGCGGCGGTGGTTGAATGTCGGCGATAATGTTCGAAAAAAACGCGTCCACATTGAGACGCGTCAATTCACTTTAGCACTTGACCTTGCTTCTGAGGCACTCCGATTGCATATTCATTGATACTGGAAACCTTGTCCTCGAGACTGTTTTATCCAACCCGAAGTCTCTCTTTCTATGCTTTTGCCGAGAGACGGGCCCATGCATGACTTGGACTGTTGGTCGTTTGTCGTGGCATTCTTCTCATCAGCCGGTCAGCCCACCAGCCCGCCAGCCCGCCAGCCCGCCACGGACAACACTCTCTCATCCCCTTTCCCTCTGCTACTGAATATCCAACTCGTCAAACCTAACAACCAAATCATCCTTCTCGCCGTGTGGTGCGGGCTTCGCAGCATAGACACCAATCCAAATCTCTGTCTCCTTAGGCACATCTCCCCACCACGTCACTTCTCTCAATGGTAACCTCTTCCCGCTCTCACTGACAAGCCAGATCCAGAGACTTCCGTCGCTTGCATTCTCCATCTCGACAATAGCCGCGTTTTCAATACTCACTGTCTCGGCCAGCAGAGGCCTGAGACTCCAATCTGCCCACCGATCCTTGGCTACAGTGCCCACCAACGGCACATTGTCGAGGAATTCAATGCCAGTCTTGACCCAGCGAGTCATGTCACTCGTTCTTATGACTAGACACAGTCCGCCTTGATCGTACTTGTCCTTCCACCGGGCCGAAACTGTCACCTTTGCGGACTTGAATGAGCCGACTGTGCTAGTCCTGTACACTATTGGCGCATTAAAGGAGTGCGTTGCAGGCGGCTTGTCCCAGATATCCGTTCCGGGGGAACAGGTGATCTCAAAGGAACCAGAAAGGTCTGGGATCTCGTGGTTCAGGTGAATTGCCTTGAAGGTCGATGTCATGATGTAATTGCTGGGCTGGTAAGTGTGCGATGCAATGACGAGCAAATTTGGGCGGCGTTTGTGGTGGACAGATCTTCAAATCTGTTGAGAGGGTTCGAGTTAAGTGTCTCTGGCCTCTCCCCTGCACGCGGCTTGACCACAGCTTTATCGATGGTTTTATAAGGCCTGGAAGTCTTGCGGGATGGATTTGTCCGTCCTGCGAGCACAACATTTAGCAGCTACATCGGACCCTGATACGGTATCGAGCCCGCCAATCCCAAGGATACAGCGCCAAATTGGGAGCGGCCCGCCTTTTGGCATACCGAATGGAAATCATGTGAAGGGTTTCTGGTATTTTCCCTCCCCTTGAGACGCCGACACCACATCGGGAAGTGTCCGTGTGAAGAAAATCCAAGATGGAGTGTCGGAAAGTCGTGTCATCTTGGCTACTTTCTATCGATGCGAGGTCGCTGGCTGGACTTCTTGCTTAGATGGCACTATTCAGAAAAACAAAACCAAAAGCCCTCAACATTGGGGGCTCGAAGCGACGGCATGCCAAGCAACCCCGGGTTAAAAGATCAGTCCTCATATGGCTCCCCTCGCCAACCTGTCTCAACCATGTATTCCAAAGCATTCTGGATTCAATTTTGTATGGCTGGGTCTCTCCCGACGCGGATGATACGACGGCGCAGCTGGGCCACCTACCGCTACTAATCACATTTCACACCTGAAGCCTTCCCGCATCGCCTCCACACGACGCAATCTCATCCTCTTTTCGGTGTCTCGGCGAAGATCTTGGTAAGGCGCTCATCAAGCCACTTGACATCGTCCATATTCCCTGGCGGTCCCCCGGCCCAATGTCCCCAGATGCTTGGATAGACGTCCAGTTGGCCAATGCCCGGCGACATGTTTTTGACTTCATATTCGGAGTCTTCGGGCCTGTGATAGAGCAGAATAGCTTGAGCGATCAAGAGCCAGATATTGAAGTCGAGGATGGTCGAGACAGGCGACCGAACAAGAGCACAAACAAACAGAACGGCAAAACTTACGGGAAATACAGGTCCGTCTTGCTGGGCAACACCAGCGTCTTTGCCTTGATGGCACTCATCGCCGCCTCGAAGTTTCCGTTATATGGTTCCTGCTTGCTGACGTCTCCAGCCTGCCATGTGTGCAACATGACCAACAAATTCTCCGGATCCTTTGAACAGGACCATGCTTCCCAGAAATTGACCATGAAATCCTCCAGGTCTTTTGCGCCGTAGGCGGACTCGTGGAGCTTTTCGCGGTAAAAGGCCTGCGAGAAGCCCCAGCCGGCGTAGCCTCTCCCAAAGGCCTTGAGACCGGCCGCCTTCTCCTGCTCTGACCACTGACGGTTGGACTTCACCGCGACGGAATCCTGGGCATTCTCCACCCTGCCCAAGGTACTTCCAGCTGAACTGAGTCGCTTTCCCGCCAAGAGCGCGGACTTGACACCTTCCAAAAATACCTGGTTGTGGATGGACGTCCTTGCACTCCCGCAGAAGGGCACACAAATGTCGACGAAGTCCGGATACTGTGTGGCCCACTGAAACGACTGGGCGGCGCCCATGCTCCAACCCAGCACGGCCCTCAAATACTTGATCCCAAGCTTCTCCGTGAGGAGACGGTACTGGGCCTTGACGTTGTCGTAGAAGGTGACGTCGGGAAACGGCACGACGTCCGAGTTGGAGGGGCTGATAGACTGGCCGTTGCCAAAGAGCGCGGTGATGATGATGAAGTATTTCTCCGGGTTCAACGTCTTGTCGGCGCCGATCAGCCACTCGTTGTCGGAAATGAGGCCAGAGTACCACGATGGATAGAGCACGGCAGGGTTGCTGGGTGATCCGAAGGTCTTGTATGCTATCCATGCCTTGGGGATGGTGGCTCCGCTTTGCAGCGCAAAGTCGCCCAGGTCGTATGTCTCGTAGTCTGCCATGGTTGTCCTCGTCTGCAACGAGTGGAAGAGGGAGTTGATGCTAATCGATATGGACAGATGGTTATATAGACAGATATCTCAGTTGAATTTCATATCAGACTCAGTGGAGTCAGATAAGCAATGAATAACGAAGAGCAACAGAGGGAAATGAGTTCTCTCTCTTCCTTTCTCTCCCTCCCTCGCGTGCAAACTGCTTAGCAAGTCTCCTCAGCCCACTCCAAGCCAACAAGAGGTCCGTCGAGACTCTCCCCTCGTATCATATCAGCAGCCAGCACATGCCGCGAAACTCTGACCCCGCAAAGTCGCTCATCTCCACTCGACGCCTCATGGGGGATTGGTGCTTGTTTGATACCATTACGCAGGGAGAGGAGGTGCCCGTCGTCCGAGAGTGCACGGTACTGGGAGATGGAGTGTGAGTGTAGATGATATCGCAGGACACACAAAGAGACATATATACAGACAGACGCAGAGGCACAATCGCCGGCGCACACATTACGTACCCTCAGTCATGACGTAGAGTATGTAAAGCAGGGAGACACCACGACGACGAAGACGAAGACGATGAAGACGATGAAGACGATGAAGACGATGAAGACGACTCCCACCACCCTCTCACGCACACAGATTATGTACCTCGTAGAGAGAGACAATACACCGAGTGGATACTAAATTCCGTCTCTCCCTCCTTCTCTTGAAACTCGCTGGCTTAGTTCTATCTGTCTGTCTCCTGTCGTTTATGTTTCTCTGGGCAGGCCCATTTTCTGAATCCAGCCGCCTATTTGGGGAGAGGGAGGTGAGTGCAGAATAGATTTGCCATTTGGCGATTTGATTTCTGACAGCCCGACGGCGACAAAATCTCCCCGGCCTTACTTGCCGCTTATCCTTCAAGGACTCGCTGACGTACAGATAATAGTCAGACCATTGGGTGCATTCAAAAGAGAAGAACCCGCCGTCCCAGCCGAGATCGGAAACTCTGGTACATAATGAAATCAGAAAACAACAGCCTCAGGCTCCAATTCGTCTGATCGATCAACCCCAACCGCCTTACGGAATCACCTTCACCTTTGCCTTCACTTTCACCGTCAACCCTCAGAAGCCCTCGTTCAATCCAGGCCTGTACTTTGCCATCCGTCAAACATGTCCGCAGCCCCGTCCAACCCGCGCGAGGCGCAAGAGAAGCACGACGCCGAGGCGAGCGTGAAGCGCAATCCGCACGGCGACTTTGCAAAAGTGCAAGCCTCGCGCCCGGACTGGGACGAGTCGCGCACGTGGCGCTTCACCAAGACGCGGAATCCTGAGTGGACGTATGGTTCTGGCTCAGGGTCGGGATCGAAGTCAACCGTGAACGGACCATCATCCACGTCCGAGAAACAACACATCAGCATCGACCCCTACGCGCCGGACAGACAACCGGTGCAGAACTACAAGTTGCTCATCAGTGGCATGATCCCGCGACCCGTGGGCTTCCTATCGACGCGGTCCAAGGACGGCCTTTCGACAAACCTAGCCCCCTTCTCGTACACGCAGCTGTTCAACCACGACCCGCCCATCTTCTGTGTCGGCTTCTCCGGCGGTTTCGACAACGCCAAAGACTCACTACGCAACCTAGTCGAGACGGGCGAATGCGTCATCAACATCATTGGCGAGGATTTTGTCGAGGCCGCCAACGCCTGCGCCATCGATCTGCCCTATGGCTTGTCCGAGTGGAGCGTGTCGGGCCTGACGCCCGCGAGTTGCGAGGTCGTCAAGTGCTCACGGGTCAAGGAGAGTGTGTTCAGCGTTGAGGGAAAACTGCTCTCGACGCAGGAATTCGAGTCCCGCTCCCCAGAGACCCCCGGGAAAAAGACCGGCGTGCTGGCCGTCATTGAAGGAGTCAGGTTCTGGGTCAGAGAGGACGCGATCAACGAGGACAGAACCCTCATTGATCCAGCCGTGCTGAAGCCCGTGGCCAGACTTGGAGGAATCACCTATGCGAGGGTGGTGGATGGGTTTGAGCTTCCTAGGCCGGTCTTAAAGGAGGAGAGGGCAGAGGGCAGGCTAAGCGAAGAGCTGTTGAAGAAGAAGGTGGACGGACAGTGACATGAATCAATCCCCGGGAGAATTGTTACTTCTGGCGGCTTTAGAATCAATTAGACCGAGAAAACGTTTTCGGCCCTGGGTTCGCGTTATCAATAGATCACGGATAGCACGACAGTCGGTAAGACCAGATAGATAGCGGACGAGCAATGTTCACCTAACATAGAATGCAACATTATGTGTCCAAACGAACGTATAGGGCAAGTAAACCTGCCAGACAAGATATGTACGGACGGCAACATCACACATATATCCAAATTGCGACATTATGCCTTTCCTTCCGCCCTCTGGCAAGGCGGATATTCATCTCTTCGTTGAAAGCTGTTTTCATGCCGGACTTGGAATAGATGTCGGATCGTCTGTGTCAATGTTGATCTGCGGAATAGATAAGCCTGTGTTGTCGTGGTGAAGGCTGAGCACCATGTCCTCAGCAAATGAACTGGCTGAGCGTCTCCGTTCTGCCTGCTGATCATAATCTTCCCTCAAACCAGGGGAGCCGCCGAAAGAGAGCTCTGGCTGCAATGCTCTACTTCCACGTAGCATTGACGCGCCACGTTCTCATAGAACTCTCTTCCTTTTCTCCTTTACTCTAAAGACCTTGCTCAAAAGAACTTGCCCTTGACTTCGACTTGGCTCCTCACAACCCCGTCTCCATCAGCATAGACTTCTCTCTCTGAATCGCCCGGCGCAGCACTGACTCTCCCAGTGTAAAAGCTCGCTGTCGGCACCGCGGGCTTGTCCAGCGCATCGAACTTTGTCCCTCGAATCTTCGCGATGCACCACTGAACAGCGAGCCTCAATCCAAACGCGCCAAGTGCCCACAGAAGCCCACCAACTGGCGCAGCCACAAACGCTCCGAACGCGGACCAATCGTCCGCGTAGAGGCCTTCTTCAAGCAACATGAGAGCTCCTGCCGCGCTAGCGTCTCCCTTGTAGAAAACAAGGCCGAACAGGAAGACGGTGAATATACCACCCAGTCCCCCGATTACAACTTCAAACCCGCGCCAGGCGTAACATCGATCACTGAGCCCGATAACCAATACAGGAATGGACGACGCCGAGATGAGGTCGGAAATCAAGTAAATCTGTAGCACCGAGGGGGACTTCAATGCCACCACGACGACCGGGACAATAATCACCACAACCGTGGCACGGAGAATCCATAGGTTCAACTTGTTTCGAAAGATGTCGTTAGACCCGGTGCTCACCATGGCGGATTGAAAGCTGTCGAATGCTGCAGTGGACAAAGCGACCGTCATGACAACCACGATCCCCACGACCCAGGCCGGAAGTTGTTCCAGTAACAGGAAAAAGGCGATCGAAGACTGCTGAGGCGGATCCCCCAGCGCGCCAGACCATCCAGCCAAGAGCCCAGACACGCCACAAAGAGTCAAGATGATGGCGACCGCCACCGTCGCGATGCTCACTCCAACCCACAGATCTTTATCCGTCTTCGCCGCAAACGTCCTCATCCAAAATCCCGAAATGAAGAAATCATTCGTCAAGATGGCCACTGGCAGGATGTAGACCAATTGCCAGCCCAACAAGCTCGCATTCAGGTATCCACTCTTGTCAATCAAGTCCTGACTGATATGAGTTTCTACGCCGACAGTGATGCATCCGATGATGATCAGCCCTACAACCATGGCGCCTTGAATGTTGTCCGTAATAAAAGAGACTTTGAAGCCACCCAGGGAAGTGTAGATCGTGGTTACGGCACATTCCACTATCACCACGGGGAGCCCATTGAGTCCGGTGAGGGCATTGATGATTTGTTGGAGGGCAGAGAGCTCAGCGACCATGTAGAGGAAAAGAGTGATAAGCCTGACTTGCATTAGATGTGAGGAGATCAGAGGGAAGAGCTGAGGATGCATACGTCAAAGCGGAGAGATATAGGGCAGCAATAACTCCATATCGCTGGCGTGTCCACTCAGTGAGTACAAATCCCTCGGGACATTTTCTCCTGATAATGGGTCCAAGATAGGCAAAGACAAGAAGTGGTAAAGCTGAGGAGAGACTGTAAACCACGAGGCCCTGGACACCCGCGATCGTGGAGATCTGCGGGTATGAAAATAATATGCCTGAGCCCAGAGCTGTTTGGCGGAAATGTAGAATTTTGTTAGTACGCAGGATCTTGAGTGTTAGGGCAGGGGGTCAGGGGATTAGGAAGAAGCTGGCAGCACGTTTCCCACGCAAGCATTAACTTGATCGAGTTTTGACGGTACAATCTCAGCATTGTGTAATCAGCATTTCGCGACTCGTTCATCTCTGGCTCCCGGGGTGGGTAGCTAGGTGGATGAAGCAAGGGAAATGATCAGACACAAGCGCCCGTAGTGCTGCACATTGGCCCTTGAGCTTTGGCGTCGAAAAGAAGGCACACCACCCCTGAACCTGTTTGAGGTGGACAATCAGAGTAGAGGAACCGAGCACGGAATCTTCTGTCGGCCAAAAGCAGCAAGGGCCAATGGCGTTGATGCAAGCATACGAACCTCAGATGGAGAGCTTTGCTCAGCATGCCAACGAGTCAAAGTATTGTATCAATCAAATGAGGTCCTGTTCCACCTCGAAAAGCTCGATGTATCGTCCCATTTCTGGTTGTGCTTTGGTTGTCGACTGTGCGCAACCCCCGTGCTGCTGCCGCTTCAGGCTGCTGCTCTTCGAGCACACTCACCCGACGCGATGAAGTTGAGGGCCAAAGGTATGCCTGGGGAATGTGTCAGCCTCCAACTTTTCTTCCAAAGCGGGAGACTGGTAGGTTGGTCGGATGGAATCATTCTTTGTACCCTTCTGTGTTCGCAAAGTAGCGAGATACTCGCCCTTCGTTTGGTGCCGCAGAGTCCATGCAACGAAGAGACCGAAGACACTAGTTTAGGAGCATTGTTAGTTGTTATTGTCTTGCTTTGTGACGGACAGGGTGATGAATTGCGCACAGGAATGCCGCGTAAGTTGTATAGATGATGGCGTTGGACGCCTGTTGAGATGGTTGACCCATGGTGAACTTCGCCGAGTCGATCACTGACAGCCACTCTGTGATCTTCGATGATTGTGAATGTTTGTACAGAGTGAAGAGCTCAGTCACTCTTCTCTCAGTTGGGGTACGAGGAAGAGGGAAAAGGAAAAATTCGCAGGCTCATGCCGACGTGGGGCACCTCGATTTATTGTGGTCTTGGGCGCAACTTGAGCTTATCAGGGCTCATGTGGCATGCAGCTGGACCTCGGGCAGCTCGGGTTATTAACCTTAACTGCCTTAGCAACCACCATCCCGCAAATGGCGACCATGTTACTCTCGCCGACTGGCTCGGTGGCCCTCAGTTCTCCCCGTAGAAGTGAGTGCTTCTCTCACACGCGGGATGGTGTAGACAGACACCAACTCCTCTGGTATTATCCAGTACCAGCTCTAACTCGAATCCCAGCTAGGGCCCCATTCTCCGTTTCGACATTGTCGCTTCGCACAGCCGCACGTACTGCATCCACAGTCTCGTTTCAAGTCGTCTCCGTCCGAACATGGTCGCTGGCATCTCCCCAGTCAAGGAAAGAGCCCAGGCAACTAAGGCTGACCCAGTGCGGCGTTCAATCATTGCGAACTCCAGTAGCCTTTTCGCATGGATCCTCTGCAAACTCCACACGACATCCTTCCCAATCGTCACTTCGAATAAGAATGCCCTTGAACTGGACTGCATGGCTGATGTTGGCGAATCGGAAAACGATAGTACGGGTCTGTTACAGAAGTTAGTTGAGCTCACATGTCCAACCGTGAATAACCGAAAACTAATAGGGCTCACCTCATTGTGATATGTATCCTGCACAGCCTCGACTTGACGTGCTCCAGTCTTTCCTTCAGCAAGTCTATTCAAGGCAAGAATCCCCCAGTCGTCGTCTGCGCCGCTCACCTTAACCACACGTGTCGCTCCGCAATCGAGATATCCCTGTAGCATTCCAGAAATCACGTCCACATCCTCTTTCTTGTGCACGAGAACAGACCACCTCTTGCCTTGATAACGGACTTCCATACCGTTGGGATACTCCTCGAAATAGCGATCACAGGCATCGGGAGAGGTAAAAGTGACATGCGCCGAGATTGTGACTCGCTCAGCATTAGGTGATGAGAGTCTCATACATTCAATCGCACCACCATGGATGAGAGACTGAACGAGGGTGAAATCGGCACCGCGTGGTAGACCAGAGAGTATGACAGTGCGTGGGCGAGATCCTAGCAACATTAGTGACAAATGCGTCCAATAGACTGAGGAGAACTTGCTCGGCTTGTTGCGGAGCGCCGGTGTTCCCCATGACTTGAATCGAGCCAGATTTTCTCTGTCTTCCTCTTCGTCACCATCATCTCCTTCTTTGGCACTGTCGTCTGTCTCTGTGCTCGCGATGACCACAATCGTGGGGGATTGGGTGTGTGTGAAGGGAGGACTACTCTCGTTCGTTTTGCATGTTATTGGGACGCCCTCTTCGCCACTGTCCTCATCTTTGACTGTGCTGTCTCTGTGAAGATTAGGGGTGGAAGTTGACGAAGATTCGTCTTCGACAGAAACCATGGTTGTCGACGCTTCTTGTTCCTCTCTGGACTGCTTCACGTTACCAGAACATCCCGCAATTGGGATCTCAGCGAAGGTGGGAAATGGAACCACCCCTGGTGATTTATTCATTTCTTTTGAACCTGCATTTACGTGTGAGAAAGTGATGGCATGGATTAAACTTGGAGCTTAGAGTCGTTCTCACTCTGCTGACCACCTGTTTTGTAGGCAGAATCCGCGAAAAGAGTGCGGCAAGATGCACTATCGGGAGCTTTCTCTTGCCAGCCTTCCAGCTGGTTAGCTGGTGAACTAGTCAGCAAACTCAAAAGGCGACCATAAAATATGCTTACTGGTCTTGCCAGGCTCATCTCTCTTGCCCTGGCTAACTCGAGATTCGATTGACGTCTCGTCGTTTTGGTGGAATGTGGCAGCATCCGTCGCGTCCATGTTAGACTCTTTCTCTCGAGCTGCGGAAAGTTAGCAAACGGCAGAAGAAGAAGCACGATGTGGCACTTACCCAAAGCAACACGGCCACTAGCGATAGAATTCTGTCCCAGAATCCGCTCCTTTGACTTTCGGAATCGATCAACCACACTATCCATGTAACCCTGAGTCTGATGGCTTAGCTCTGCTAACCTGTTCTCTGTGATGTGCTCGACGCCGGGTTTCTTGCCAACCAGGAGTCGATGCTGTGTTGGGGTCAGAAATGGCGGTCCGTCTGTTGCTGCGGCCGTATTGGGATGCTCTTGCATGAGGCTTTGCCTGTCCTGAACGGTGGGCGGGTTTGTCTGTTCGGTGACAATGCCATTCTGATCTTGGATCAGGTCGACCGGAGCAGTCCTTTGAGCAATAGACACGTGGGGAAACGGAGAATGGGAGGGTGCCAGAAGGCTTGCAGTAGCTCCCTGTTGACACCCTGATTGCAAGTTGTTTGGACGGCTGCTGGTTTTGGAGAGGCCACTTTCACTACCGGCGGCCATAACCTTGGAAGAGAAGTCCTTGTTCAAGTCAGCGTAAGCAGGGTGAAGGAAGGACCGTCGAGGACATGACTTACTTGGCTTTCTGGGTTGAGTTTTGACACGGGTTTTTCGGATTGGGTCGCACTCTTTGCAGATTGGGCATTGCCTCTGACCACGTCGAGGAATCTGTTGAGAATGGCAGGATCATCGTACGGCGACGACTTGGCCATGATTGCGACTGTGATGAGTCTGACAGCTTCGCAAAACAGTTGGAGCAAACCGCTTTACGAATAGCAATGATGAAAGTCAGAGAAAGAAGTCGTCGAATGTGAGGCGAGTTGAGAAGGAAAGATCCAGGTGCGGTCGCCAACGTTTCCTCTGACTTCACTCCGGACATTCACTGCTGATGCGCCCCCCTGAGACTTATGACAACGACGTAAGGAACAACTCACGCCAATTCCGGCGGTCGATTTCACAGTAAATGACCGAGAAATGGAAAATGGTCTTGGGGCAGATATGCTCACTTGGAAGGCAGAAAGGGCTGTCAAACAGCTTCAGCATTTACATATCTCTCTTTCTCCACCAAGTTTTCTTTTTCCACAGCTGATCTCCAAACAGCGTCGCTCACGTCGACGCCAGATGATTTTTACAAGCTCGTAATATTCCCACGTTGAAATTTTGTCTCGCTCCGGACGCCGTCGCTATGCTCAAAGATTTCATGAAGGCACCGGCACGAATTCCCAATTTCTTTCCCCTTCCATGATGTTTTCCTTAATCAGCGCCAATCCCCGGCGGCCACAAAAGCCTGCATGTGAGGCTATCCTCGTCACTTGGTGGAATGAACCGTTGTTTGGCGGTAACCTCTCATCTGCAACCCAAACTGTTTCCTGCACTTGCTGCCACGGTTCTTCGTGGCGCCTCGGGTTAAAATTTGGTTTGTTGGTAACAAGGTCAATTAGCCAATGAATTGGTGTGTATAGGCGCTCAAACCGCCGCGTGAAGGCCAGCCACGAAAGGGTCGTGGAGTCGTAGGCCACTCGAACAAAGGGGTTCATGTAAATGCCCGAATTTCCAGGCTCAGGATTCTGAATGTCGGCATGGATGAGGCAACATTCCGACGCATCCCAATAGAGGTCCTTCTCCGCACGAAAGCGATAAGGCGTGGAGAAATTGCTCGGGCTCTGATTGCCCGCGGTAATCAACTCAGGTCTGCCAGGTCGTGCCTGGAAAAATCGCGCGTCAAATGCAACCATCCCACCCCAACAGCTTCTAACTCGTACTGCATCTTTGCCGTCCAGAACGTCTTGGTGACTGGTCTCGTCGCCACCAGCCGCAAACCACGGGTAGAAGGGCAGTCCCATACTGTACCCCTCGGCATCCCTAGTTGCAAAAGTATCGTAGAATTTGAAAGGATTGATAAAATCCACCGCGCAAGCAGCTCTGTAGTCCGTCACGCCGTCGGCCACGGTGTGTGTTGAGAAAAGTAATTGGGCAGCGTCGATCGGGTGGAAAACGACGTCGTTTAGGTAGAGGAGTTTGTCGAACGTGGTGCGTGAACCTTCCAGCGGCCTCAACACCCGGTTCCGTACCTCAGCCAGATACTCGATACGCTTCACGCGTTCTTGTCCATGAATATGGATGTGGGGCAGACTGTCGATGCGCAGGTGGTCTTCAAACACCAACGCATGGTCGCATGGAACCCGTTTCTCAAGTTCCTCCAACGCCTTTTTCGCCTCCGGTCCGGAATCGTTGACATATATCGAGAGAAATGCGTTCTGTGGTCCCAACAACTGTATCAGTTCGAGTACGTTTTCTGCCCAATCTCCGCCGAGGAGTTTCCCGCCCTTGTCGTAGATGCTCGCTGCAAGAAATACTTTTTGACTTTGCTGGTTCACACGCCCGGGGGTCTCGGAAGCCAATGCCCTTTGTCTCAATGCTCTATAATGAGGTGGAAGGTGAGTGTAGCCCGGGAAAAAGACGCCTCCCACGATAACGATGGCAGTGATGGTGGTGAAGAAAATGTAACAAAATAAAGCAAATTTTCGAAGGAGTGATCTGGGCGTGCAGACGTATCGGCGAGGAAGTCGTTTTGATCTCGTTCGGGGACGGCGTGGCAGATACTGCTTGCGCAGCCACGCAGGGGCTAGGGAGATGAACTGGGAGGAAACTCCTGGTTTGACCACGCCGGACGCCGTCTGGCCCGGAAGTAAATGGGATTGGAAACCATCGTGGTCTGAATCGTGCTCGAAATAAAGTAAAGGGTCGTCTGCTTCGTCTGATGTGTGTGTACTCGTCCTCGACAGCTCGTACTCATCCGACTGCAGACATGGAGAATTCATGATTTGCGGGGACAAGGAGTGCGGAGAACGAAAAGAAGTTGGCGTAGTAAAGGAGAGGAAGTCGCCATATGACTTGGAAGTCACTCAAGACTCCAAGAAGAATACAGATGCTGAAGCAGAGACGACAGCATGTGCAGGTAATGAAGAATGTGTGTAGATGAAGGAGGCTGTGGGATATTCAGGGCGCAGGCAGACAGCAAACTCGGAGAAAATGTGGTACCGCGTGTTCTGGGGGCAGGGAAAGAGGGTCAGAAGGCCCGACCAGATGAGGGTTCAGGGACCTTTTCAGCTTCGGGGCAAATGTCCCAGGAACCAAAGCGAAAAGAAGGGCAGCCAGCAGCAGCGAGCGAGTGACAATGCATGCTAAACTGAACCAGGCGCAGGGACACGTTTGGTTTCGCAGGTGCACAGCCTCCATGTCCGCAAGGATGGGTGGAAATGGGATACGCGAAAAGGAAAAGCAAAGGGAACGTGTAAATTCTGGTGGATACTGGTGTTCTCTGTGTCGAGTGGGCTGCGGGTGGACTAATGGGGGCGTGTGAGTGGTTAACAGGGCCCGCGGCATCCCCTCTCTGGGCTAGATCGGCATCCCGAGCCACCTAACAACCCTAATCACCCATCTCCCCCTAATGGCCCCAATGCCCCCTCCCAAGGCTAAAACCCGCAGGCCTCGCTTCTGGAATGGGCAGCACAATACGAGGCGAGGGTGAAAGCCGCGGCCGAAAGATTTAGGTTCCTGATCTCTCTCGCTTTTCGTCCAGACACACAAATCACTATCCATCACACATCCCACCTCGACCCTATTTCATCACACCTGCCCTATTGTGAACCATCTGATGAACATCACTGCTACCACCACCCACGTCCCATCTCCGAGGGCCCATCTCCCACTGTCTGTTACTACAAGTATAGCGAAAAGCCGTGGTTTGGCCGCTTCTTAGCCGACGCAGTGATCAACGCAGCCAATCACCCACCCCTGACTCTTCTCGCCGCTCAGCAATTTCGCAGCTCTGTGTGGCAGGCGTCTGCATTTTGCCCCCGATGATTTCCGGTCATCGCGTTTCATCAGCCTCGGCCTCCCAACGTCTGCTCCACGTTCCAGGAGTCAGCAAGCTATTTAAAGCCTACGCAGTACCGAGATCGCGACAATGCAGTCAGACCTCCTATTGCCGTAAGGCTGACGGGATGGCAAAGGAGGCTGGTACACACGCAATTCGACCATTATATAAGCTGAAGCAAGAAGCGAGTAGCGTGCCCAAACACCAGCGACACGAGCGTACGAGGCACACGGCGGGGGTTGTTCGGCCTGGATGCCGGAGAGAGTAGCTGTTGAAAAGACGCTACCACCATCCATCACGACAATCACGACATCATCCCGCCCTTTTATCGCTTCTTCTTGCATCCTGTACGCATGCCACACAGTGCGGAGATCAGTTCGCTTGACTCGAGTCGGCGAACAGCTTCCATCTGCAACCAAAAGGTCCACAAACAGACTTTCTACGGGTGCATGGAATCGCACACCGATACTACACCCTGCAAGCTGCCGCCACACGCCATGACGACGACTAACCCATCGGCTGCCGGCCTCTAGCGACTAACCACCCGCAAAAGACATTCAGCTCGCCAGCTTACTTGGACTTGTTCCCAAACCTGTTTTAGGGTGCTGTTGCAAATGCCTTCCCGCCTGACGTATTTGAACTAGGTCTAGGTTAATAGTCCATTGAACGTGGGCATCCTACACTACCTGCTCCTCCAAACCCATCTGCGACACCTCTAAAGATGAAAATGTGCCAATCACAGCTCGCTGGCTCGCTGGGTCTGAATCGTGGAGTTTCCCCCGAGATCGGCAAGACTCCTCGTGTTGGACAAACCCATTATTGATGCCGAACAAACCGAGCTTGCAGGATGTTGATAGTCTGGCCAAACCATGACGATGAGAGCTCCTGCACCATGGATAACTCCTCCAATCCACCCAGGACTGCCTCTTTCATCGCACGGAGCTGCCCATCCTATCCTCGGCTGATCCTCACACAACGTTCTTCCCTCCTACGGACGCCATGAAGGTAGAAAACATCGACTAACCTCGATGAAATGCACTACATGAAGGTTGAATCCCAGTGATCTCTCTTGATATACTTTTGCCTTAACACTACGAAGTGATATTCCTTTTCGGTCCTGGTTAGCCAGCAGCTCGCCGCCTCGCAATGAGATCCTCGATATTTTTCAATACAGCCCCCCTCTTCCCACCTTGGTAATTCACTTTCCGCATCCATTCTTCCACCGTCTTGATCCTGTCGGGATAGATTTCGTCCAACAACTTCATATCCCTGGTCGCTCCGAGGCCGCCACCCCAGAACTTCCACCACGCCGTAAAGTTCTGCCGCCAAGTCATTGTGGCCGGCGATCCGTCGGTATTTGCCCAGTTGGCAGGGGCATTTGGGTAAGGTTCCTTCTTAGGGAGGTATTCTTCGAACGAAATCCTGCGGTGTATCCCCTTGCGGCCTGTCACGCGCGTAAATGCCGATGTGATGTCCGAGAAAGAGACTTGGTCGGTGGCCATTTCGAGATTGATACCCGTGGAACATTCTGGGTGGTCAAAGATCCATTTCACGAAGACGCCGACGTCATTGAGAGCCATGAGGGGGATTTTGCCGTCCTCTGTTACGTGTCGCGTGGAATTCATCAGCACCCACGTTCTCACCGTGTGAAATATGGTGGCATTCTCCTGACCCTGGTTCACTCACCGGACGGATTTTCCCACACGAGGGTGCCATCGTCGAGCTCTTCTGCCGGCATCAACATTCCGTCAATCAGCATGTCCTGTGCAAGGAAAAATTAGCATCCGTTGAGTCATGGAAGGCCGACGTGCAGCCAGATCCAGGCAGATTGAG